GGCTATGCGTAATTTCAGCGCTTGACAAGGGATCAATTAGACAATTCTAAACGAAAAAATGAATGGTAGGTCAGGTAGCGGAGTTGTGCTGCCACCAGTAAAGATGGCTTAGGCACTCATGTTCCCACGAAGTCATTTCCTTCCTTGCATTTAATTGCTATGATAGAGCTCATCGATTGGCTTCACTTTCTTTAAGTTGAGGTAGGTAACACAGCATGAAGTTATGTCACCACCATTATATAAGAACAATTAAGTTTTTAGATTACCGTTAGAGGTTACGCGTCGTTAAGCGACACGCATGGAGCTTCAGTGATTCTTCTTGACCTTCACCTTCGCACGCTTCACCTCCTCACCTCGCCTCACCTCCTCACCTCACCACGCTTCACCCGACTGTGGTGTGAAGTCAGCATGACGGGCATAACGTAGGACTGGGCTACTGCTAGTGAAGTGGCCTCGCCGGACGTGCGAAAACCCTGGTTTGATTCCATTCCACTGGCGCGGGATTTGATTCCCCCGTGATTCCCCCTTCCTACCCAAGTGAGAAACAAGCAACACTATACAGCCTCAGCTAATGAGTGCATGGTAAGCCCCGACGAAATCGTGTCCGATTAAGCAGCTTGATCTTAACCTTGCACGGTCTCAGCCTACGCGACTCTTCTTGGCATCATGAAATGACGCTCTGAAGCTTAAAAAGGCACTCCTTTTATGGAGCCGTTGTCAGGCTGTATAGCAAGCGTTACTTTTGGTAGAGAGCGCGACAATCGTTCAAAGATGTTGGTGATTTTAAGGAGCATGATGATTTAGCCAAATTTTGGGTGATTCGTGACGTCACTAGTGACCTCACGAGTGACAGCACAGATATTCCCGGGAAAGACTGGTAGGACATGACAGAGCGAGCTTTGATCCTAGAAAGCCTTGCCAGTAACGTAATGCTCATGCGAACTGTGTCACTACTATCAGATTGTGAAATTCGATCTCAACGGCGTAACTTTGTGACCTTTGCCGCAATGCTCGGCACGGCCTGTCTCCACCTCCGACCTCATCTCACCTTGAGCTAACCTTGAACAGCCTTTGCCACCTGACGCATGCCATCAAGGTCACCCCCGCCAGGGGCGAAAATGGAGTATGTGCGACTAATAGCGACTCACACGCAGACCCTGTTGCGGGTCGGATGAGAGGCAGGCGCTCTAACCGATTGGGCTACCAAGGCGGGCGATAAGCTGTTTGAGAGGCTCGCTGTTTGGCAACATGCACCTGGCATCATCTGACACCTCACTTATGCATCTGGTAACATCACCTACCAGTCGGCACCCACCCGTTGTCGCTGCCTGAGCAGTTACTTCTTCTCTTGCCTTGGATATAACCTGACTATAGCTTAATTCCCCCTGAGATCCTCGTATTCCCCGGGAATTCCCCTGGGTTGGGAACGTCTAAGCTGCACTATGACTACGATGGATCTTTGAAAGCGCTTCTGTTCTAACAGAGATGGGAAAGGATCACTACAGAACAGTAGACAGGAAGACTCCACGGTCACCAGGAGCAGGGCACTGATCAGCTGACCGAAGCGTAACAAGATGACCATCAGCTGGGTGACGACAATAAAAATATATACAACTGACTGTCAGCGAACGATATCAAATTCGCACATGGTAAAGGCAAAGCTCATCATGATGCGACATGAAAATTGTTTCGCAGCCACACCGCAAGGATAACGTCAAGGCATCGAGTTATTTTAAGAGTTCTGCAGCGTCCGTTGTTATCATGATACCAATTTCACCTAAAAACGTGCAGGTCTCCAAGGGACAAACACCACGTACGAGTATCATCGTCCATTTAATAGCTGTGAGTTCCGACCCAAATCGATATAAATTGATCTTGCGACAGCTCCTCTTCACAAGTCAAGGCGCACTTTCAAAACGGCACGCCAAAATGACACGCTTAAAGAAACCATGACACTGGACTGACGAGAGAAAAGATAGCACGCAACACTGCTACTTTCGTGGCGTGGTGACACAAGAGCAGCCTCAAAGCACTTGAAGCCGTATGCACCAGATATGAAGATCCGCCAATTAACAGACAAGGGATATGAGGGACAGGCTCTCACACTATGATGGTCAACGCCTGATGCCGAACGTGTAATGTGGGGCTAGAAGCCAGAGACAACGATAAATTGATACTTCCTTTGGAAACGCACCGCTTGCACGTGTCCGTGCGCGCAAGTGATTTCAAATGACTTTAATTGTGAAAGTGTAGTGTGAAATCAATATGCAGTTCTAAAATATTTGCATACGGAGTTTCATTGCATGTTGCATGGACATGAGTGATATCGGTGATATGGCCTAACGATGCTTCAGGCATGCAGTCTTGTTTTTTATTCAGTGCAAAATGTGTAGGAATGTAGTTCATGACCTGTCCTGATGATTATTTCAGGAGTAGCAAAACGCTAACGGCAATGAAATATATATACATACATATATATATATATATATATATATATATATATATATATATATATAGGTGTGTGTGTTTTCACCTAATGGCAGACACCAGGTGCTAACGTTCATATATGCATATACATATGTATGTGTATGTATGTGTGTACGCATGTGGGTATACTGTTATGCAAATGTTCTTGTAAATGACAGGATGTTTATGCAATATACCCTCCTTTAAATTCACATTCAATAAAGACTTTTTGTCTTATTAGAATCACATATGATAAATCTCAATATCATCGCATGGTTTCGTCCGACATAGGTCATTGCCAGGCAATGACAAACGAATATGCCATTCAAATAACAGGGTATACTGTGTTTATCTGGAAAACGCTTGGTAAAATTACGATAAGGCAGCAAAAAGAATGCCGCAAATTTGACGATATTGAGAAAAAAACATCAGATGTGATGAAACTGATCCACTAATAACTTTCGGCATGCATTTACGTACAAAACAAACTGCTCTGAACAGCACAATTTCTCTTCTTGGTAAATAGGCTCCTCAATATGTCATTGTTTGATGATGCCGCCATGCCTTACATAACAATTGTGAGCCAATTGACGACCGTTATGTCTGGAAATCGTGCTCACGAGCGCTAAATGTGAACGATTCGATAATTTTATGTTTATTGGCCGTGTTCGTCACATGGCCAAATAAATGACACATTTGGAATGACGTCATTATGACGCCATGAAGGCCTGAGTACCCTAAAATAGCCTGCCCGAAATAGTCTTTATATCTTCGCGGGCGTATAGCTCAGAAATAAGACGGGCCAAGTCTTAAAAAGGGCAGGGCTGTGAACTGAATCAAATGATCTTCAACGTGGCTGTTAGTTCAAAACCTTACAGAAGTGCGGAACACTCTCTTGAATTCTGTAAAGGTCAACTGCACACACGAATCTCAATGAACCGACCACAGTAGTTCGGAGAAAATTATGGGAAGCCCCTTTAAAGCTCCCAAATAAAGTCTCCGTCAGAAATCGTGGCATTCTGTTTGCAGGCGGTGGACCGCCAAACAGGCGGAGTGTGTCCCTGGCGTTGAACTGTCGGTTGGATCACCGGGTGGTTGTCACGGATGTTCACCGCCTCTAGGACTTGAAGCTTCCGCCAGTTAGAGCAACGGACGAGGACGGCGGTGTTGCCTGCCACCCGCTGCCTGCTTAGTTGTGTGTTGCGGGCCCCCTTGAGATGGTGATCAGGGCCCTCATTGAAATACGTCTCCCGAGGGCCGTGGTCGTGTGGCGGTGCCTTCAGCTACCGCTGGGTACAGTCAGGTACGTAGGCGCCCTTCAGACGGCGCGCACGGTCACCTGTTTTGCAGCGAAACTGGTACATAACATTGGCCATTTTCAGCAACCACGTGTCTCAGGATGAGTTTTTCTTCATTACCAGGATGGTCACTTAAGGACTCGAGTATAGATGACGAGCTAAATTGCACTTTGAGGCTGAACAGGAGTTTGGCAGGAGCTTGATTTTATCAGGATGTTTCGACTGATCTTCTCATCCGTCTCTCAGGCTGTTGCCACTCGATTAGGATGGAAAAAGGGGAGTTGTTTTATCTCGTCAGGGACTGACTGTTCGGACCGAGCTGCAGCTGATTGTGCTGCTGTATTTGAGCCGGATGTCCTTTTCGACCACGTGCTCGCTGTGCTCGTTGCCAGCGAGAAACTGGCGCACTCGCTAGAGTTCCTGATGGTCCATCAAGAGCCATTGATCACACGTACCATCCTACATAGGCCACACGACTACGACCCTCGGCAGTCGCATTACGATGCACCTGCGAGATGGAGGCCCCAATCGACATCTCAGGGAGGCACACAGCACAGAACCAAGCAGGCAGCTGATCATCAATACCACCGTCCTCGCCCGTTGATCTCACTGGCGGAAGCTCCAAGTCCTAGAAGCGGTGTACATCCGTGACAACCACCCAGTGATCAGCCGACAGTTCAACGTCTGGGGTACAATCCGCCTGTGGGGCGATCCGCTGCCTGCACTACTGAATGTCTAGATTTCTGACGGAGATTTCATTTGGGGGCTTTGAGCGAGTTTCTCGTCGTTTTGTCTAAACTTCTGTGATTAGTTAATCGCGAACTTTGTCTGGGATCGGTCCTTACTGAATTGATGTCTTAATTTTATTTCACTGAAGGAGATGCAGATAAAAAATGATGCGATGATATTGGAATATTATGTCTTCTTGTCATTGTCCGGCGATGTCCTATGTCAGCCGAAGCCTTATGGTCATGTGAAGACTAAATGCATGACATTGAGTCACATAACATTAAGTGTGTTCGTAGGATTGTGAATTTAAATACCGATATATTGCACAACAACCATAATGTCATGGACAACAGCTTTTGCATATACCTATACACACACGAATATATATATATATATATATATATATATATATATATATATATATCAACACGAACAACAGGGGTACGATCGTGCAGTGGGGTGCCAATATCAATAAAATAGTACAACAGGTCAAAATTGTCTCCTTACGGTTTTTGCACTTGCACTTTTTGATGAGCGTCTCATCTCTGATGTCCTCGTGGCATGACTTGCAGTAGTACCACGCCCTGGAAAATACCATCAATGAAGTGAGAAAACGTAGAGACCAGCACACCCCAAAACGCAGATAGTGCTTCACACATGCTTGCTGCCAATGGTTCGCTGGACTGAAAGCCAACTAGCTGGCTTGTTTCCGTTAGTCCCGCTCACTAAGTGGCTCGCGTCTCTCACTAATCGGTAGTCTCTAGATAAGCGGCCGCAGTTTATAGCTAAGCAGTCCTAATCTCTCGCTAATCGGTGGAGTCTCTAGACAAGCGGCTAAGCGATCGGAGTCTCTCGTTAGTCGGCAGTGTCTCTAGATAAGCGGCTAAGCCATCGGAGTCTCTGGTTTATCGGCAGAGTCTCTAGATAAGCGACTAAGCAATCGGAGTCTCACGTTCATCGGTAGTCTCTAGACATGCGGATGCAGTTTGCAGCTAAGCGGTCAGAGTGTCCCGCTGTGCGACCGGATCGCCCGCCTCTGAGGTCTGTACCAATGTGGTCAGATACGCCCGACATTCGTAAGTCGACTCGTCAATACCGGCAACCCAAGGAGATGAACAGCAAGAAGATGAGCCGCAGTGAGAGAAACACAAGCGGCCGTCGCTGACTTAAACGCAACATGGCTGTTACGTGTCGGGATAGGAAAGGTGGCGATGCAACACACGTGATGTTGCCGTTTTCCGTTCTGTTACCGATGTTGCCGTGTTTCGAAGTGTAGAGGCACCGTTCGGGTGATCGGGATAGTCTAAAAACGTTGCTCATTTTTGGCGCAATTTGAGTGTGTGCGCACAACGCGCTTTGCACCGCTGTTGGTGATTTTTTGCGAACTAAAAGACTTGAATGGAATGGAATGAAATGGAAGACTTGAATTATAACTGCATACTTATATATTTCTGGGGTGCTTGGTAGCACCTACTTCACTGGTGCTGCTTATTTTCCCACGTTCCGACCGCGCTCCCTCTCCATCTGACCTCAACATTGACCTGACCTGCGCGCCATCCGCTCCGCCTCCTTTGAGGGCAACTCACCGCTTCACCTCGTCCGCGGACTGTGCGATGAAGAAGCCCTGCGTGTTGGGCTGCAGCTTATTGAACCGCGGGTTGATGGCGATCTTGCTGTCGCCGCCGTCCTCGCTGCGGATCTCGATCGCCAGAAGTAGCAGCTTCAGCTTGGAAAAGCACAGTCTGCGGCGTGACGGTGGTCTAGTCAGCAGCCAGCGACCGTCAGCAGGAAACCCAGACGGATGACGGCTGGCCCCGGCCGAGCAGCGCTGCCGTTTCATTCCGTCTCTACACTAGTCAGGGAATGGGTGGCAGCGGTGATTCCGTAGCATACTATGGATAGTGGAATGGTGATATCCGTAGCGTTGTATGGATAGTGAAATGCTTGAGGCGTAGGCCCCGTTATAAGCAATCATAGAAAAAGCAACACAGGTTGAATCAGGCTCAAGATTAGGCCGCAGACCGAACGGAGTAAAGTATTAACGGCGTTATTGTCAGCACCTAAGATTTCCGCATTTATTTCACAAGGCGTTGACCAGCTGAGATCATTTGGCGTAAACAACCATCACTCTAATGCAGCAAGGAAAGATAAACTTTTGGGCGTAAGCCAGGCTCGAACCCACGATTTTCCACGCGCCGGCGCCGGTCGGATGTTCTTCCAACCGGGTTTTGCTATCCCTGCTGCCTCCACCGCATCACCAGGGGCAGCCACAAACTTGAGATATTGCGCGGCTTAATGTAGCATGCGAATGCAAAAACATGTGCCGAGAGATGAGGGAAGACGTCTGAGAACAACATCTACGAGTGGGAACATTCAGCGTATGTTGCATCTGGCAAGAACAACGGGTCCGGTTGCATGCAGCAGCACGTAAAGCGCACCATTACATTTGTGAATGAATGTGAGTGGTAACACAATTTAGGTCGTGTTATTCAATTTTATCGGCATTGTACTTGACCACGTCGACAGCCTAGCATCGGATACATGCACATGCGCATGCGCACAGGCACCATGCGTATCCAACCACGACACCGATAGCATGAGCAAGAACAGGCGACACCGCCGACGCTGACAACAGCTCTAAGCCATCAACGACTCCATCCGCACTACAGCAACACTACTGGCGACTCGACTGGTGCGGGAGCACAACGGATGACGTCATCGACACGCGTCACCAACGACACCTCCGTCAGCAAGGCAAGCGTCGCTGGCGATGACTTTCTGGACTCACTCGGACGCGGCGCGGAATGACATGGCCACAAACGAGGCACTCAGCGTCTCCGTGTACATCTCGCAGCCAGTGCCCTGCAGGTAGTCGTTCTGCCACGCCTGTGTGTCTGGGGACTGGGGAGCGGCCCGTCGTCAGCATCCGTCATCGGCCGTGACGTCACGGCCATGACAGCCGTGACGTCACGGCTCTGCCTGGAGTCGCGAGTCCGCGGACTGGCGCAAGGACTGGTGCCTGGCTGATTCTTGTGGCGACCAGGATGGTTGGCCCCGGCTCGTGCGTGAGGCTGCTGAAAGACTGACCCACTGAGAAAACAGCTGCTGATAAATAGGACAAATACAGCTAGTGGGAAGAAAGACTGACCCACTGAGAAAACAGCTGCTGATAAATAGGACAAATACAGCTAGTGGGAAGAATTCAATTGAACCAAGTGAACTTAAAGGATCGCATGATAAGAAAATGGCCAGAAATTTAGAAGTTTTCTCGAAATGCGTCCCCCAAATGTTTTTCAGGCCCCTTTCAACGACGACCACGGCGTCGTTGCGCTGCCAAACTCCACGGCGGCCGAGGGCGCACAATAAGATGCACAAGGCCACAGCGTCCCCAGATGGAAAAAAGGGGCTCAAAACGGCTGCGAGCACGCAGGAGGCCAGCAACAGCTGGACGCCGGCCAGATCGAAAGCCAAGACAGCTGGTGGGTTCAAGAAAACTGAACCATTCAGAAGGCCCCTGATCTTAAAGCTTAAATTCATGAAAAGCATACAATTTCAGTAGGCACTAGCGCCATGAGGCACTACGGGGTTCGCGATGAATACTTATTATTAAACATGTACCGGAAAGTCCAAGACTCGTGACAGTGAAGAGCACCAGCCCAATCACGGGCCTTCAACCTGCGGTCTTCCCGTTCTAAGAGCTCCTGGACCTGCACCTGAGTCCTCAGGGTGGATCCCGTACTCCAAAATGTCCCGTGGGTATAGCATCCTGTATTTTTTGGGCTCCACGCCGCATGCCTGCTATATAGGTTTGCGTGCGGAGAAGCGAGCTCAACCATCAAAGCAACGTCGAGGATCTTCTCTCACACTTTCTCACAGGTCGGCAGCTTCTCACAGGTCGGAGGATTCTCACAGATCGGCAGCTTGTCTCAAGGACGACACGTCGCTTGCACATAAACTAAAAGAGCGCACAAGTCTAAAAGTACTGCGCTGCTGACTTGGCAGTCATGGAGGCCTGGCGATGCATTCAGGTGGAATGGGAAGTCCTCGAGGTTTTTGCAGTGGTCACTGATCACTAGTGACTCGGTGTCCTCTCCCGACTGCCCTGCGCCGGGCGGCCGGCAGCCACCGCCTCATCACGAGATAGACGGGAGATCTCGCTGTGCTGTAGAGGCGTGCTCTCGTCTTCCGAGACATGATATCTCGACCTCCCTTCTCTCTAGAATGAGATCTCGATCTCCCTTCTCCCTAGAATGAGATCTCGATCTCCCTTCTTCCTAGAATGAGATCTCGATCTCCCGTCTTCCCAGGCGAGAGACGGGAGATCCGCCGCGGCTCCTGCACTGCAGACAGGTGTGGCCTTTCGGCGGCTTCTGCACTGCAAGCAGGCATGTCCTTCCAGCGGCTCCTGCACTGCAGGCAGGTGTGGCCTCCCCGTACTCTACTTCCATGACTTTGAACGGATTGTCGCCACGTCCGCAATGCTCCTCTATTGCTCATCTTCTCTGATGCAATCACGCAGACTTCATTAACGTCAACTTCATCTGCGTCCGACGCGTTCAACACCGTTCTTCCGCGTCGACGCCGCGTCATCTCGCCTCGACGATGATCTCTCACCGTGCTGGATGCCTCGATATCAGACCCGACACTGACCGCATTCTCACAGTCAGTCATGCCTGACCGGTAGTGGGCCAGCCAGTCGGGACTGAAGGCACCTCATTCACGACCCCCACGATACATCAGAGCTCGACTAAACAAACGTTATCGGCGGTGACCTTGCCAGGTCACCGCGGTTGACCGCCAGAGACCGGAGAGCAAAGGACACAATGCGCCTCGCAACACCATGCATAAACTATGGGTAAAATAGCTTCACATTATGGGTAAAATGGCTTCACATCAGGCGACTCATCTCGCGAGTGTGGTTAAATTGTTCATGCGTCGCTGGTGGCGACTGCGTTTAAGTATGTAACTCGCATATCACATGGTAAGTATGAGAGCGAGAAGAAATTCTTTGAAAGTTGTTAGATGCACCGACCCCAATGTCCAAAGGAGAGAATTATTGGCATGAGGTGTGATCAGGTGAATTAGTTGTTGCACAGCTTGTTATTTTTTCATGCCACGTGATACGGTTTTTTTATCACGCATGCCGAACATAAAAAGCGATGGAAAACATTCATTCTTACTTATAGGTCGCACGTAAGGCTGACAGTCAAAAGACTTAGGAATGGCGTCGTGGTCGAAAATAGAAATGTAAATAGGGAAGATTCCACCACAGAAAAGAATGTGGAAGGCCACCGTGAGATAAGGCCACAGCACACCCAACAATTCACTCGTTCGAGCAACGCCAGCTTGTAGCACGTAGCAGTATCACAAACCAGTCACGCCGTTTGCTACAGCGGTAATTCTGACGCGACAGCTCTGGCAGTGACTCTGACGTCATAAAAACGTCCGATGACGCAATGAAACTGGTGTAATGAAGACCATAATTTTTAATAACCAAAACTTTGTAATCTATGACAGTCTTTTGCACTCACAACCATAACAAAAGTTACGAGCAAGCTTGTTCCATCATATCTGGTTCTTGCCCTAATGTCGTGAAATGCGGAAGAATCCCTTTAAAAAAGATACTAATTTCAGCATGTCACGAAACCTTCCCTCCACCAGAAGCCACCACCACCAGCGCTGCCACCATCGCTCCCCCAAGCAGGTCGCAGTTCAATCCGCGCCATGACCAGACACCCAGCCAACCAAGGAGCGCAGCACACCCTGGCACTTACTGCGCCGCCTCAGCAAAGGAGAGGTCGGTGAACGACTCGCTCAGGGTGACGTCATATATCTCCATCTCAGCACCACGCAGGTAGTGTCTGAGCCAGTCCTCTCTCTCCGAGCGCTAAAACGCCGTCCAGGGGTCACGATCAGGTCAGGACCCGTGTACAGTCACGCCTCTTGTATCAAAGACGTTATACATGTGGCGCGGTGAGGGAGGGCCTTCTCCAACGACAAAACAAAACACACGCGGATCTTTTACAGTGGACCAAAATGTCACTTTAACAGGACTGCCACCGCAACCCTTACTTAAAGGCCAGGACCCGTGCGGTAAATGTTATTATGATACGGAGAAGACAGAAAAAAACATCCCACATTGCTCTTCCTCTGGCAATCGAGCTTTCTGCAACATCTTTCTCCCGTTCTTGTTCATCGAATCAAGCGAGAGTGCAATAGTAGCCGGGACCAGGTTTCACATCCCTGGAATTCACCAAGTTGTTGAGTGTATTTGCGAGGAACATTATTGGCATAGATAAGGCAGTAGTAATAGCCTTATTCCTGGGGGAAAAACCAGGAGAATGGAGATATAGATGGGTTGATATTTCGGCAACATGCCTTCATCGCAACAATAGCAAAAGTTACAATAACTTCTGCCATTTTTTCGATCAGAAGTTACAATAACTTCTGCTATTGTTTGATATAGGCATGTTGCCGAAATATAAGCGCGCGCACACACACACACACACACACACACACACACACACACACACACACACACACACACACACACATATATATATATATATATATATATATAAATATATATATATATATATATATATATATATGTATGTATATATATATATATATATATATATATATATATCCAATCCCCTAGATTTTCACCGAGGAATAAGGGTATTAGTGCCGTCTTAACTCTGGCATTCACGTCTCCACCGGCTCGTCCGGCACGTACGTGCAGTGCGATGGCCGCGGCCACGTCCGCCGCCAGATAGGCCACCGATCTGGTGAGGCGCGCCGCCAGCAGGCTGGTCTGCGCGCTGGCCGGGACCATGTGGCGCTGCCGGAGGAGCGACGCGAGCCGGGGCAGCTGCCGTCAGTCGGCACGGACAACACCAGCGGTGCGGCCGGACAGGCTGAGAAAACAACAGCTGACTGCCGCGAAAACAGGCGGCCACGTAAACAAGGGAGACGCAGATGAAGAACGAAAAATACAAGCCGGGAGCGGTATGAGCTGTAACGCATGATTAGCTGTGAGAGGTTGGTCTAGAAGGGCCGGCGCATAAAGGAAACTCACGTGTTAAAGCCATGCTGAAGGGCTTAATGGCGAAAATGAACACCGCTGTTTCATGCACATCAAAATAACTTTTGGATCGCGGCCATACAGCCCCTCTGAATAGTCGTGGGAACGTCGGAGGACACGGAGCCTCAGCCATGCTCCATTTGCACCTTCCGGGAGTTTGGCTGTTGGTGGTGCCTGCGCCCCACCCTTAAAGCCTCCATAAAGGGCGTTGTCCCGCTCAGTTTGCAAAGGTGCCGTGGCTATGAGCGCCGGCTGCCCCGGCGCTCCGCGAGGGACACAAGACGCTGGTGCCGGCAGAGTCCAGAGCATGTTGGGAAAGAGGTTCTGGTGCCGGCAGAATTCGAAACATGTCGGGAAGGAGGTCATCACTCTGGCGTCATCTGGAGCGCCATCTGGGACGCCATCTCTGCACTGCGAGAGGCACAAGACCCTGGTGCCGGCGGAGTCCAAAACATGTCGGGTAAGATACTCTGGTGTAGGCAGAATCCAAAACATGTCGGGAAGGAGACCCTGGTGCCCACGTAGTAAAAAAATTGCTGGCAAGGAGACCCTGGTGCCGGCAGAGTCCAAAACATGTCCGGAAGGAGATGATCGCTGTGACGTGATCTGGGTTGTACAGCCAAACACAGCTCTCGTCAAATACATCTGGCGCGACCATGGACTTATTACCCACATGGGATGGGTCGGATAATGTTACAGCAGCTCTCTCGCCCGCCTTGTTCAAATACTTCTTTCGACGGACACCAAAGAATCCAGCGGAACGCAGTTTGATCATACTCCAGTGTTACTGAAAGGAATGCATTCCACTGCATTCTACGTCCGTACCTCAAATGCAGTTAACTTTAAGCCCTCCCGCCACACCTGTGACAAATCAAATGTGACGACTAGCTAGAGACAAGACACGCCAGAGACAAGGCGAATCTCTAACCCAGCATTTTAAGCATATAATCGAAAACATAATGTTTCAGTCAACAAGAAGCACCATTTGGAAGGTGTACGCCAGTTGTTATCTCTGCGACAAAGTTCTGCTCTTGGAAGCCAGCTCTGTTCCGCTTAGCATCGTAGGCGACCTAGTGCCGGAAATTAAGTGTAGGTCTCTAAACAGTTTTGCCAAATGGTTACGTTAATTATTTTTTGTAAAATCAGACCCGCGAACGCGGAAGTGCATACTTAAGCAATTGTAATTCCGTACATTGTAGGTGCAAATCAGTCTCCGAACATTTGGTCACAACGTTGAAAACGAGTTCTAATGTGTGCGCGGACTAATTTTCACATTGCCATCACTTACAACGCAAATTTCCGGCGCAAACGTTGCTTGTTCCCCTTCTTTCGTATTCTTACAGACGCGTCGTGGGCCGGGGAAGGCCGGGGTGACATGCTCCAAGATCGCGTGCATCAACCAGAACACGCCCGGCCACACCATCCGCCCATGACCTCTAAATGACCATGACCTCTGACCTATGACCTATAACCTCTAATTCGCCCATGACCTCTGACTGAGCCACGACAGTCTGGGCCACCTCGGGCACGGCCGATCGGTCGTGCCAGTCCCCTCTGTACGTTAGGGCCTGGTGCTGCCCAACAGGCCCCGCAGATCTATGTTTCTAGCGCGCTCAGGCGCCTTACGCGGGGCAAGGCTGGAGGGAGATGTGCCGACAGAGGGGCAGCAGACTCGTCATACACCAGCCTGCACATATGCCAGACAAACACATGTTCCTGTTATGCATCACATCGCGACAGATGCACGGAGGCCTGTGAAACTGCGTGGACTTTTAGGCGACAAACCATCGGAATGTGTTTGCTCGTGGGACAGAGAAAATGCGATTCCAATAGACTTAAACGCTCTACCAGTTGATAGAATAATTACGGGAATTTTGGAGCACGTCATCAACACAGGAGTACTTTCGAAGCATTCGTCACATTTCAATTCGAACACGTCCGTCTCGCGACGTGGTACTGTGAAATTTCGACTCGGAAGGGAATTACGTCATTGGAAAGAACAACCCCATCCCCAATGCTCCTTCTAAGCGCATTGATGACAATGTCCATGCTGAGCTTGAGCGGAGCTCAAGCTTACCTAGCGTTGATCTAGCGCTGTCACGCTATCAAAAGCGTTGAGAAACGATCGCTCGTGGAGGGATGAAGTCGAGACCAGCACCTACCGTCTTGAAGGAACGCATGGCGAAGAGGTTGGCCATCATGGTGGAAAAGCCCGGCGCCAGACAGCTCTGCGCGATGAAGCCCAGCTTCAGCTCCGCCAAACAAATGACGTCATCGCCTCGCTTCCAATCCCAGCTGGGAATGTTGAGCAGGTACGCCTGTAGCGGCATTCACGCGTCAAGTGACGTCATTTCAATCCCAGGTGGAATGTTGAGCGCTTTGAGCGGCCTTAACGCGCGAAATAACGTCATTCTAATCTTAGCTGGGGATGTTGAGCAGGCACGCCTGTACCGGCGTTAGCGTGTCATATGACGTCATCAGTCTTTCCAACCAGAGTGCGGGATGTTCGGCCTGTACCTCTGTGGTGGGATAAAATAAGTCATATGTGACACTGCCACGCTTACAGTCCAACGGGATACGCTCAACACATATGCCCGCAGCAGTTTAACATTCACATGACGTCATCACTGCATATTAGCTCCAACAGCGGGCACTCGGCAGCTACACCCGGGGCGTTGAGGCTGGCACATCATGCGAGGTGTGGCAGCACCTCCGAACCTAGCCGGGGCATACCTCTGGCCGGCGCTTTGAAACGGAATTACACGTCACATGACGTTACCATTGCACTTCATCACAGCACCATTCAGTAGCCTGATCATAGGAGAAGACTTCCAGCAAAAGCCCCATAATCGCTGGTGGGGTCCCCCAAAACAGGGCGCAGCGGACTCCAGCTCTAGATGTTACGACATCCAAAGCCAAGGTGATCGTGAAATTGAACGTGTTACTGGCCTGTAGGTGAAACTAACTGTACATGGTATTGTATGTGAACCTGCGTAGTCCCATGCGTGCCACAGTACGTGTGCGTCGTCGTCTTCAGCATTACCACGCAGTGGACTGCCACAATCCCACATCAACTGGGCGTCGATGCCGTTGCTGGTGCCTGCTTCCACTGCGCAGTGGTACATCTGTCGCCACGTTGTCATGATTTTACATAAGCTAGATAGCATAAGCTTCGTTCATGTAGTCACCTGCTCATAGTCACCTGATAAGCTGTCGCCATGTTGCCATGATTCTGCATGAGCTAGATAGCTTCGTTCATGTGGTCACCTGCTGACAGTCACCTGATACAGCTGCCGCCACGTTGTCACGATTCTGCATGAGCCAGGTAACTTCGTTCATGCAGTCACCTGCGTTGGCAGAACCGTGAGCGGCGACACAATAGTCACCTTGTTGTGATACTGCATCAGCTGGATGATGATGCGGATGTCGTCGCTGTAGTTCTTGATGGAGATCACCCTCATTATGTTGGCAGCATCCTCGGCGTCGGGATCCTGGCAGTATTTGTTGGCCAGCACGAGGCATGCGTCAGCTTCGTGGATCTGAAGGTCCCGACGCCACCGACATTGGGTCAGGCCTTGTGTCGCAGACGCCGCACTAGGCGATAGCACGTTCGACATTGAACCGACCCACAGCTTTGTGAGTACCGCCTGAGCTCGACGGCAGTTTAAAATACGGATAGGCGATGTTTGATGAAGCCGAGTGATATCCGAGCATGCAAAGCCAGCCTTGAGTTACGCGAGCGGGCTAGCTTTAAGCGCCGGAGCGCAGCTGTTTGCTTTAAGCCGTTAAGCGCAGGAGCGAGCCGTTAAGCGCACTTTAAGCGCAGGAGCGAGCCGTTAAGCGCACGTTAAGCACAGGAGCGAGCGTGTGCTCTAAGCCGTTCGGAAGCGGGAAGAACACGTGCTTGAATCAGTCGACATGCGAGCTAGTTCAGCCTACACGGAGCAAGAGGATACCCATCAAGAGATGCCAGACAGGAATAACGCAGCATATATAAACCGCATACACTTTGCGGGTTAAGCAAGGTGATGGCGTGGCGCAGGGCATGCCGCTCCATGGGATGCAATTTATGGCGTTCGTTATTAATCGCATGTGCATCCGACGCATAGCTTGACTGATGTTTTTCTTTTTTTACTTCGCCACTATCCATTAAAAGAAGCCTCGAGCTGGTTATGGAGTTGGCTCCCTAGCATTGAGTCATAAGTATGAAAATGAACCGCTCTTCCTGTCAGTATGGCAAAATACTTCGTCGCAACGATGATTTGATAAGGAAACGTATTTGGTGACGTCAGCAGGCAGAGAACCATTGTTAGGAAAGGCCAATACATCTTCCACTGCCCGCTAGCTCTCTTCGTGCAGCAAATGACATTGTTGGCAGCATTTGACAGGAATGCTACCGACAGACAGGAATGCTAGGAATGCTAATGATGTTTAACGCTCATAACGGGCATTGACAATGTAAATTACGAAGGTGTGCAAAAACGTCATGTCAAGTGGGAATGGACCGGAAATCCCAACAAGCAACTGCTTGTCTGAATGTTTGTGTTGGGGTAAAAAAGCTGAGCCTATAGTGCTCCCGCGTGAGAGGTGTTGGTTCGATTTCCGAGTGGCGCCATGGCCGAAGATCCCTGAAGTTCACGTGGTCACTACAGTTGATCGGGCTTCATAAAGGTTGTGCTATGCGACCCTTTTAAGGACAATCTTAAGGAGATTGTTGTTCTGAGGGTGCAGTGCCCCGAAAGCTCAATGGATTACCTTTCACTTATTGAGCTTGTGATTGCGGTGACCATGTGATGCCACTTTGGCACCATGTGCGTTATGTTTCTGCTTGTCTGTATAACTGAGAGGGCATTCGGGAAGACTTGTACGTAAGCCGCAAGACTGTTGATGTCTTTTGCCTTCTGATGTCCTGCATATTGTGGGCCAGTCAAAGAGTATGGGTAATTCGGAGCGTTGGCATTTGTCACTGGGGCATCGGTAGAAGCAAATTTATGGACGGGGTCTTGTTTGTTCCTGTCGAAATTTCGAGAGAAAGTTTCAAAAGCATACTTCGAAAAATTGGATCAGCTAAAAAGGAGCAGAAAATATTTCGAAATTCAGTTTCCAAATGTTCAGGTAATGTTTGTCTGACCGTTTCTGTGCAGGGCTTCCCTTTCAATACGTTATCTCTGGTGTGGCGGCTGCTGGAAGGAATGCTGGCTGACAAGGATATACCCGGCGTTTGACAGAGTGCGTAAGCATTCGTCCCATGGATGAGTGTAATAATGGACCTGTGGCGCCTGTGACGATTCAAACATGACGCCTGCCCACTAACTTACAAACACATCAGCAAGCAACGCCTGTCAGCACGTTATTGTTATTCCTTACAGACCACTAAAACTGTTTCGTTTCAACGCTAACCGCGGATCTGGCCGCCGCACACTTTCTACTTTTCATGGATCTTCTTTGCCTTAGTTAAACCTAGCCCACTTGGTAACAGCCAAGCACATTTGACATGAAAAGGCGCCACGAAAAGCAAGCTGCCATATGCATCTGTGACACAAAACTGACCTTGACTCTCTGCAGGTCTATTGGGTTCATAATGCTGCCTTGGAAAAACTCCACCGTGGTGAAATGCCTCTTGAGCAAGCCCTCTAACTCCAAATCAGGAGGCTTTCTGCACGGATGAGTGGAAATGTCACCGTTAGATGGCACCACCATCACGGCACCGCTATCCTGGCGTTACTGTCACCACAGGCCACCGCCAGGGCGGCGACACCGTCACCACACCCAAGCATACGCACATGCACACACAGATAAGAGCAGTTAGGCGGCATACTCCACGCATTCTCGAAACATACAATCACGTGTCCTTTGAAGTCCACGGAGCCAGGGACCGGGCGCGTAAGCGCTGTCAAAGGCGCGGTACCTCGTCTGGCAACTCTCGACCAAAACCCAGGATTTCCTCATTACGACAAGTAAGGAGATTTATGAGGGTCACTGTGATAGGTCACTAGGACGGAGTATGACCAAAACTCATGTGGCATTGTCGCCTCCAAAACCAATTGGACATCAGTCCTGAGCGTTTAGAATGGCAGAGCAACACTTCGCGCCTTCCTCCCAAAGCATAAACAATGCTTCTTAGTTGGGCGGGGGTGTGAATACGGAAATAACAACGCGTGATTCTACTATCAGTCTACTGCCACCGAAAAAGAGCGTGAAAAATGTCAGACACAGTTTCAGACAGCAGTGGAGCTCTGCTTGTCAGCTCCACCGAAAGCCAGACAGCTTTGCACAAATATTTGCAGCTAAGACAGTTCTGCTGGTTTTATTCCTCGTAGAACAACCAGGAAAAATGAGAGGCGGTGCATTGATATTTTGGCTTCATACTCTTATCGAGACGAATATGACTATTCATATTCATTTCCATGAAGGCATGTAGCCGAAATATCAATGCACATATTTCCCCCTTCTTCTGGTTATTCTACGAGGAATAAGGCTTACAGTGCTGTCTTACCTATATGAATAATTTTTCTTTTTGAGACATTGTTTCCATTCCTTAGAAGTTGAAAACAAAGAAATATGTACCTTCAGAACATTTTGCTCTCTGCAAGGTTTGAACAATCTAAAATGTGAGGACATCTGTTTTCAAACAGGCACATTTTGTATATTCAGCCAGCGGCAAAAGGCAGAGGCTATCTTGCACTACCATCGTATGTCTGATATGACTGGTAGCCAGCTTTCCAATTATGCATATCTTCGGTAAACATACTTTTTCAATTGGGAGTGAAGCTCCCGAGAGTCCCCTCGGGAACCGCTAGTTCGTAAAATGGGACACTACGGTGTGCTATGCTGGACGCTATGGTTTTTTGCATTTGGTGAGAGGAGTGGCGCTACTGCTGCCATCCCGCCACGCGGTAAGGATGGTGGTTCTAGTCCCTTTTATCCCTCAATGTCTTCCATCACTTCAGCATGGGCCAACGTATGGCATGTCGCACGGATTAACTTTGAAGCTCAATGTGCCCCCACCACCGTAAAAAATGATCCATCCCTGTTCACCAATTACAACGTACTGTCCCTGGCCGCCAGTCGTTATTATTACGACTCCCACTGTTACCAACGCCATTACCGCTTCCCCGAGCCCACAGGCTGTTTTGACAGAACGTTTTGTAATGCACCGAAACTATTCCCGGCTCCTGATAGAGACACCGCACTATAGCTGTGGCTCAATGTTGAGCATCAACAGCGCCGTGAAGCTCTGCAACACGCTCCGCTCAAAAACAGTTGTTGTAACATCTTGCAATACGATGTCACATTCAATGCTAAGGAAGGTAGTGTCTTCTGGCAAGTGCACAAAATGATTATGAAACCGGCCAAATTTGCTTAAATCATAATCATGACAAGGGGAGGCATATCAAAATGGCCGAAATCATGGGAAAATGGCATTTGGGAGTAGCAATGTCTACTTTATTGACTCAGCCCCCCTCCCCCCCTACCCCACCGATATTAGAAAGGGGACGCGCCTGTCCGTCAGGATACAAACGCGTCGTTTCCAAAAGCTCCTACTCTGATTGATGTGTCGTGGAGAGGTACATATGTCTCAACGCAAGCAACAAATTTCATCTAAAACAAAATAATGTATTTTTGTACTCAGAATGAGCACACTGAAGCTTAACTAATACCAAGAAAATTTATAATGGTATGAGACATGTTGATAGGATGAGAGACTGCTACGTTGGATATCTGTCATTGCTGCAGCCCAGTCCGTGACGCTCCGTAAATCTTCTTTTTGACGATGAGTTACTTTTGTGTGACGGGCGAGCGACGCGATAGAAGCCACGTGCAATCGATCGTCATGAAATATTGCTTTCCGTATGTCCTCGATGCTAGTGATGTGGGTGCTTCTTTGATGCTCTTTTACTTGATGCGGAAGCTTGCAATGTTTGATAGCACATCTAAATGTCACACATGTAGGGGATCAGGTTAATAATTTTTTCACTTCGCAAAGGGCCTCCACATATCCCAACTCGTTTTTAAGAAAATGCGTAGTGACCATTGTCACTTCATACACATGTGCATCACTCAGGACAAATTCCCGCATGACCAGCCGCTTAGCAGCGTCGTGTTCATCTCTGGCGAGCGAGACCGCGACGTCACACCTAGGGGAGACATACCTGCTGCGAGCGCAGATCGTTCACGTTCATGATCGAGCCCACGAAATAGCTGACCCAGCGGTAGTGACGCCGCAGGAGGTGGTCTAGTTTCAGGTCCGGCTGGCGACTACAAACAAAACAAAAACAACAATAATGACAACAAACAAGCGGTTACAGCAACAAAACGAAACCACACAAAAGCAACAGCAATGACAACAAACCGCTACAGCAACAAAACGGGAGAACAACATCAACAAAACAAAAGTCTCACAACACCAAACAACAAAATAAACAAATGAACCAGACAACAACAACAAGCAAATGAATCAGAACCCATGATGATGGTTTGGATTTTTGGGACGCGCCGACTGTGTTGAACACAAGCCGCCCATTTGGACCAGACCCAAACGTCATCAAAACAGACATCAAAAGAAGGCGATACTGACGAGCTGCACGATCTAATAGCAACAATCAATAGGGGGCTCTGTCATAGTGTGTTGGAAAAGTGCCCTCGAAAAACAGATTGTGAACAGAGCAGGTTTCGCACCGTCGACCAGCAGAAAAAGAGCTACCTCTGTTGCATCTTGATAGCAAAAGTGACAGAGCGTTTGCGCGTAAGTTGACATAACAAGCATGCCATCGGCATCCATTAGGTGCTCTAGCAGGTGCACCTGTACAATTGTATCTCGTCCAAAGCCATCGGAGTGATTGACGGTCATGTCCCCCTCGCCAAAAACCAACATAATAGCCGTTTCCACGATGGATCAATGCAGTGAAAAGTTTTCTCGTTAAGGTAAATGTTTCTATGAAACTCAAGTATATGCTTAACAACCTTAGAAGGAAAAGATTGTCAACATGCAATTCTACTGACATGCAATGAGTAAGCTAAGTGTACCTAACTGAGAGCGAGTTTTTTGTACTTAACGTGACCCTTCCTGGACATTTATTCAGTCATGCCTTCAGTTCACTCCAGTTGTAAGAAAATACTAGGCCTGGCAGTCAGCAATGTGAATTGGTCGAGGGCGTTGGATGCGGCCGCCCCATTGCTTACATGGGTGTTCTGTGGAGCGAGGCGAGGTTAGAGGATCGTTTCATTCAAGGATCCTTCATCTTGAATCATGTTAAGGTATTTTTTAAGTCTGTAAGCTTTGTATGCACTGTAAGCAAGCTCCGAAAGCACTGTATGTAAGCTCTGTAAGTACTGCATACCAATGAACATGAACGCTGCAAGGAAGTTGGACCTGGTCCGGAGTTGGACCTTGTTTGACCTTATGTATTTCCGAGATCATGACTTAGGAACCTCAGTTTTGGCACAAGTAATTTCACGTACAAGCTAAACCGCCCTGTGAATTTATTGTCCCTAGCTATCTTAGTTTCCGATATCTCAGAGGGTCAATTTGACCCCCCTCCCCCCGAGCGAAGCTTATTCAACCAGCCAACCGGGCCCGCATTGAAACCGACTCAGACGCAGGACATGGCATTCGAGTTCCCGCAATCCACGCTGTTGGCCGGTCCGCAGCAGAGACAGAACCGCGACGGTTTCGGTGGCAACAGTTCCGGAATCGGCACGGTTTCGGCATTGACAGACCCGGAACTGGGATGGTTCAGTTCCGGTGGGACAGTTCCGGTACCGGGACGGTTCCGGTGGCAACAGTCCCGGAACCGGAGCGATTCCGGTGGCAACAGTCTCGAAACCGGGATGGTTCCGGTGGCAACGGGCCCGGAACCGGGACGGTTTCGGTGACAACGGTCCCGGAACCGGGACTGCTGCCAGGAACCGGGAGTGCACCGCCAGTGGGAGGGTGGGTATGGCAGAGGGAGCAGCGAGGGACCGGCAAACGACACAGGTACCACGAGGCCTGCAGAACAGACGAGCTGCTCACAAAATCTCCAGACCCTTTAAATCGCCAGACCGAGCTCCGTCAGATCACACAAAACTCTCGGCGGGATTAGCGGCTTAACATTGGCTGTTTCAGTCCAGCATAACGCCTGTTGTCAAGCACAGCCAGCTTGCGCCGTCCAATGATACTTTTCTAACGGCACCAAATGAGCCCCCTACTTTAAAAATTGGCGAGCTCGAGGAAGATACTGACAGCATAATGTCGTGCCAAATCCAAAAGCGGGAAGTCCCCACGGACAAATATGGATGTAAAGTGGACTGACCCCCAGTGCAGTCGGCCCAATCCCTCGCATCTACCCACACTGACGGCGACAAGTTCGATACACAATAATTTAAAATGCCGAGCCGTCCCAAGATTGATTTCGCCTTCCAGGCGATGTTTAATCGAAGTGAAACACCGATGGCAAATCTCGGGGTTGATTTCAGTGAATTCGACTCAGTCAAGCGGAAAGGTCAGCTGAACTCGTACGAACGGTGTAGGTTAAAAGCCTGTTCATCTGTCCGATTAACACAAAGGATTTGACAAAGCTGCTATCATCCCTAAGATACAACAGTCGTGATATTCGTGCTAAACTTCATGGGCACTTGGGGTGCCAGAGCAAAACACAAAACGTCACACGATCTTGGCAAGTTCACGCACACCTGCTTGTAAGGGGAGTTGTTTGTAATCATGGATCCCTGTTGTCAATTACGTGAAATTAATGTGCTGTCCTTAGTTAACACTGTTATCTTGCCTAATTTTGTATAGTTGTTGCCAATCACGAGTAATGTTGTTCGAGTTGACTGGGTGACGACTTAGGCTAGCGTGGCCAACTGAGCTCACAATCCAACTCTAGAATTTCTGACAGGAAATCGCTAGCACTCTGACCAAGCCAGGCCAAGGCTGAACCTGACCAAGCCAGATTCTCGGTGATTTTGTTGACGATTCAACATGTGCCGGAATGGACAACAATTGTGCTTTTTTGTCAAGACGTGCTTGTTTTTGCCTTTATTGTAATTACTTCCGCTTTCGAATCCTTGAAACGCGATCACAAATTGAATCGCTTCAGCTTGACCGTTATGAGCAACGCAGCTTTCGTTGCAAATTAAGTTTCCGACAACAAGCAGCGACTGGCATGTCAGACACCAGGCTCTACGACCCTCGCCCGGCGCCACCTGGTTGCGACGCAGACGCGGTTAGAATCAACATGCCAGTAAAGGGACGTTTTCCATGCAGGTAGGCGAAAAGGACAAAGTTGAGCGGGGACACCACTGAGCATCGCGGCTCCGGCTGCACCGGGCGCGTTTCGCCCTCGGTCACCGTCAGAGGGCGCCGCAGCCCTTCTCATACAGCTTCTACGCACGTCATTCAGCACAACGGACGTCATCGGAAGCAAAGCCGCACATATAAACGGGCCCGCCAGCTGACCTCCCGCCGCGTCAGCCCGGATGTGCCAAGACCGATCACGTGCGCTCCGAGAGTACGGTATGGAAGTCATGCGCCGCGGAGAGGGGCTTGACCTCGTTACCTTGACCCTGGCTAGGTCAACAGCTGACATGATTGAGCCCTGGTAAAACTGTACGGCCGTGAAATGACGCTTTAAAAGACCTTCCAGCTCCAGGTCAGGCTCGTCTCTGAAAGGCAACAGTGGGGGCTGTGACGTCACTGGGACACACGCTTGGCGTCAATCGGCTGTTAGCAGGTCAGGTTCGCCTCTGAAAGGTGGCAGTGCGAGCTGTGACGTCACTGGGACACACGCGTGACGTCAACCGGCTGTTAGTGGTCAGGCTCACGGCTGAAATAGTAATGCGTTTGCTGTGGCATAAATAAGTTCCAGTGACGGAATTGGGCACTCGGATAACGTGGCAGTCGCGAGTCAACAACCGAACCTTGTCCAGCCGCCGCAGTCGAACGAGCGCTGTCAAACGCAAACAACTTAGCCCACGCACATTCACACACGAACAAACATACGATAGCACAACAAATGCGACGGCACTGAACTTAAACGCATGTATGTCACTGTGTGAGAACCCTCCAGCGCTGGCTACGAAATGGATTTGACCGAATAGCAAGCGGCTGCATCCAAGGGCGTTTTCAAAGCGGTGCATAAAACGGCGGCAGATCACAAACCCATAAACGCAAGATCTTCGCACCGCACAGTTAGTCGCATTACGGTGGATACCGTATTGCAGCTGTGGATAGATTTCAAAGGAATTGTTCCTTGTCATCCACTGGTTGGATGGTGCTTCTGGTGGTGCATGAGCGTGTCCGGCGGGAATGGTCTAAAGTTGTGGTTGACGGCCGTGGTCGCCCACGGTAGTTGCCTTTGGTGGCTGACACTGCTAGTCGCCCCTGCGATTCTGACGCCGGAGCTGTTGCGGCGGTCGAAGGTGGCGTGCGACTGCGTCTGTGGCGGTGGCGTTTGCGGTGTCGGCTATGGCACCTCACAGCTGCTCCCGCCGGTGTTGTGTCTGTGTCGCGCGGTGGCCGGCGGCGACGCCCGCCGGAGGATCGGCCCACCTGTGCAGGAACACCACCTCCACGTCCACGTCCTCGCGGTCCTCGTGCAGGAAGTCCTTCAGGAAGTGTGAGACGGACTCGTAGGTGATGTGGCCGCACACCACAATATGTCTGCGTACATAGTGGACCCGTCAACGCGCAACTTAGTTGTCACAATCAGTGGAACACTGACTGCGTGGACATCCAGCAGCTGGCTTTGAAATGAAGGCATCTAGAAAGTGTGTCGTAAATGCAGGCGTCAGAGCACAAGATTACACCTCAAGTCGATGGTTTCCTTATAAGATATTCATCGTTTCTTCAGAGGCACGACCGCTATTTCGAGTTTTACAAGCATTCAAAGTTTATCCTTACAGATAACTCGCCACTCTCGGATCAAGGGCTAATTTCTTGCAACCTAGCAGTGCATTAGGTGGACGCAAAGTGGTGGTTAAAACTTGAAAGGCTCAAGTTCTACACTGAGCGTGGCATAGAACATGAGCAAATCATGTGACCCACAACTTTGTCATGAAGTTCGCCATTTGTTTCGACAACATTCAAGGGTCAAAAGTTACGATACACCAAAGGTCGGCTTGAACGTGGTTAGCAGTTCAGATCCCCTTTTAGTTTAATATGGACTTTTATGAGTACATTAAGCCCGTAAACACAATACAAAGTCCGGCATAATAAATACAACATTGGTCGAACAGACCACCTGCGTTTAGTCGTTAGGTCGTTAAGTTAAAAGGCTCAGATTGATCACCAGTCGACGGCAAGTCTCATCAAATAATCTGTTGCTGCAATATTGCACGTCAAACATTCCACATCTTCAATCCTAACTCCGTATACACAACACCTCATCCGCATAGCAATAACAACACTTTTCACCAACCCCTGAGCAGCGAGCGAGCGTTAGGCAGAAACAAAGCAGGCGCATGCGCAGTGGCAGCGGCAGCCGGCGGGCAAGCGGACAGGCGTGCGGTGGAGCGAGCAGCACAGACTGCCACTACACGAACCCCAAGCTGGTGGTCGCACTACCCAGAGTCTGAGAGCTCCGATACTGGGGGCGTTGTGACTGAGTCCGCCGCCGACTGGGCGTCGGGCGTTAAGTCAGGTTTATAAACCCCGGATTTGTCATACACAGCAGCCGCTTCGAGTGGCGTCGCAGTTCGTCGCATTAAAAACGCCGCGGGACGCCGCTGTGCAAGGTGCTTGGTGACTGTTGAGCCGGAGAAGGTGACATGTCTCCATGGCGAGATCGGAGCGCATCGTTTCCGTCTAAAGGTCACCTCCTCGACGACAAACGGGACGTAATGTCATCGATGCATCGAAATTTGAAAACTACGTGCGATACATCTGGCCGAGACACCTCTCCGACGAACAAGGCTGCTCTGTCTTAGATTTTGTGCAGCACAACACGGCCCAATGTTGCTTTTTGCTGCGTTTTTTTTTGGCGTTTCGGCCGCAGACTGGTAAAACCAACCCACATTTTGTTGTGGAAATATTTTCTTGTGGTTATGAGCGAGGAATCCCCCTGAAAGAATTTTGCGAAGATCGCTGTTTAAAATGGAAATTTCAGCCATCAAAAACTTAAAAGAAGAAGACTTGCTGTGATATCAGGATCGGAAATGCCTGGTACAGAGCAGCGTATCTGCGGTTACATTTCAGTACAAAGTTTAATAGTCCACATATCAGAATGCAACAAAACGTATTTACACTTTACAAATGAGATATTATTATCCTTGACATCAATTAGTAGTGGACTGTGCGTGGCTTTACTATGTGCATAACGTGTGCAATGATATGACTGCCACATGACATAACACACCGTATAAAACATGTCACATTCACAGAATGCTGAATCTATGGGGCTTAGAAATAAAAACGGTCATCTATTATCGAAACTCGTGGAATGAGCATAAGTGACTGCAGGTGTGGCATCGGCCACAGCCCTCATTAGCACAGCACATTCCTAACAATCTCAGTTGACAGAGGCTGTTCCGGCTGCCTTACAACATCAACAATGCCCAACAAACATTGTGACACACTTGCTTTATCTATGCTTATGGCGTAGGTGCAAAATGACACCCAGTGACTTGGCTTTTTTCTCCCACACTGGAACTTATGGAAATTACAACGCTGATCACACTTAGAATTACGCCATCCTTTTTCATGATTTTCAATTGTCCCCACCGTTCACAAATTGTAGTCATCAATTTAGATATGTCGAAGTCGCATAACTACCCACAAAACAAAACACTCCATTATGTGCAGCTAATGCATGGTGCTGCATTCACCCAAGCCATACTGCAACGTGCAATCGAATACGAAAGTGACTAAGTGGAAGGAAATATGAATACGCACTAAGCGAAAAAGTGCAAGGGTGTACACATTTCCGCATGGTGCATAAGTGCAAGGGTGTATGAATGTGCACAACTGGATGAGCTGATGCCACTTTTCAGGGTAAATTTGCTTCATGCATGTACCGTGGCAGTAATATTGAGATTTCACAAGAAATGGGATATGAAGCACCAAGTTCCAGTTCCTGAGCTTTTATATAAAACCAACTGTCAAAGGAAACCAGCATCTTCATTTCCAATATGACAAATGACGTTTGTTTCGCACGCCACAAAGGTACCATAAATTTTAAGCCAAAATTTACGTTATGTTCTATAACTATAAGCCCAATCATCCAGACCAACTGACGACGCACATGCATGGTCCGAAACAACCTGTACCGATCAAAATAGACAAAAAGCATCCAACAAAACACATGAGTGTGCTGTTTGGGGGTGTTCACACCTACCTCCTTCCCCTCTCATTCTTCAGTGTTCCACCGTACTTTGACCTGTTACCCACCAGGTCAATAATCTCGGGTATACAGCTGGCGAATATGGCCTAGGGCGTGGAAACAGGTCGGGTAAGTCACGCCCATTTTTACACTGCCGTGTGTACACTTCCTCATGAATGTTTTTGCTCGCGGCTGACGTCACCGCGCCGTGTGGTGAGATCATCATGACGTGGTTGCGTCTTATTGGTGCGAACCTAACAAGTGTCCGCTCGTTCTTCTATGGAAGGGTCCCAGAAGCAACTAAATCAAGTTAAATACAATATCATCCATCTTTGTCTCTGATCGAGTCCAAATAGCTGTCAGCCTAGACTGTTTCCTCAGAGCTGTACCTTCCACTAGGTCGTTCGTGCTTTAACCCTTCCTTTATAGAAGTGCGCTGCTGTGTAGTGTTGAGGCCGATAAACCTAACGATAATACTGCATTTGCTGTTGTGGACTTCGGGAAACATGAATATGCAAGGGCATGATGGGGTCATAGGACGCATAATGCCGCATGCGTGTTCTCAAACCTGAAGACGTGAGCTTTGATACTCTTCGTGACATCATTAAATGTCAATTATAACTTCATCAACGGAAACGGGCGAAAATGGCCGACGTAACAGACGTTTCTCTAAACTACGACCATCATCACCATTATCATTAAAGGAAGCAGTTCAACCCGATAATGAGATTTGAAGCAGCAAGCCAACATGGCCAAGGCTTTGGTCAATAATGCATGTTAAGGGTTACCTCGACGGCCAAGTTTATCCCTCAGGCAGCATCCCCATGGTGTGTGCCACATTTTTTCTGTATTTTTGGAGCATACGTGCATCAATGTGGGCTTATAGCCAAGACCGGTGTTTTTACAGCATACTTTTTACAGCATATTTTTATGCCGTTTCGCGCGGCATTCGCACCTCCCTCCCGATCTCAGATGCGTGTCGCTCGCACCAAAATCAAGGCATTACCTAACTGCTACGCATCTCGACGCCTCCAGAGCCTAACCTTTCCAGCCTGGAATGTCCTCAAACAGACCGCAACCTGCCGCTCCCTGGCACTTTTGGCGATCATTTTTTGCGAAAATTTTTCGGTTCCAGGTAGTGCGGCAGGTCCACATAGCGCGGCAGGTCCACACTGGTTAATCGCCATCCACGTGCTGAAGACCGCACGCGCGCACAAAAGCCCGTCAGCCAGGCTGTTCGTATAGTGTATGTATGTACTACGCAAATACAAGGGCTTTTACATTTTGTACGTGTAATTTGAATATATGTACTATCATGTATACATCCTCCATTGTGCCTCCACTGTGCCAGGTGACGTCATCCACAGTGTTGTCCTTATCATGCAAAGCAAAGGTATTCCGAAGATCATTCGATGCAGTTCAAAGTCACACCCTTAAAAGAAGCTCAAACACTGTTGTTTCGGCGCTGGACGCACATGACCTTGTGCGGACCATTTGCGCAGCCTATTAGAATCTCACCCAGATATGCATGACGTCATAGAAACGTCACGCGAATAGCGTCATCTCAATAGGCATATAATGCTCAAGGTAAAACAGGAAACATGATCATAGTTATTTGGGTATGGAGTCCGTCAACACGATACGTGGCATGATCGGACGGCAGTTGGCCAATAACCAGTTAACCGCGACAAGTGCAAGTTTCGAACATGAACCACGTTTTGTGCTATCATAATAATTTGGACAGTGGTATTAGTGATGTTGGCAACGAAACTTGGAATCGGTTTACTTTAAAATAGGGCCCCTACCGAGTGTGTAAAATATAAATGTGAATAACACGGACAATTTAATGTGAGAACACCATGGGAAAAACCTAGGGCACACAAACATAAAGATGCGTAAATTTGGAAAATATGCATCACTTAACAAACCGCCTCTCGGCAAGTTAAAGTACTGCAGGTGAGTCAGCCCATCCAACACATAAGTAACTGTGACACTGGCGGTCTGACAGCGACTCTGACGTCACACAAACGTGTCATGACAAAACGTATTGAGAGACAGTCTTTTACACCAAAAAGAAAAATACCTGAAAAATATATATTAAGAAATATATACCAAGTACACTAAGTACAAACAATACTAAGAAAAATACTAAAAAGTGACCTAAGCTTATCACATTAGATGTTTGTCCACATAGATGAAATGTGGAACATTCTCGTTAAGTGTTCAGCTTTCGAATGACGTTTCGTGCACACGTACATTCGGGACGCTTCCAAAAAAGCTGCGTTTGTGTCGTTTGCTCGCAGCGAAAATACAAAACAATCACCAGTAGCCGAGAGCAGCTAGGAGCCAACTTGGCTCCACCTGCCGGATCAGCTTCAAGGCAAGACACTTCGCTGTCCACAGTCGCACCGTGTTAGTGTTAGCGTCACCACAAGCAGCCCTGTCATTACCACTGGGGACCGTGCGCAACTGTCGCCGGCCCGTCCCCGCCACAGAGAGTGCGCCGCCGCGTTCGCCGGCGCGCCACCCCCACGCCCTCTAAAGCCTGCAGCCTCGCCACGGTGACATCCAGCGCCAGGCTTTGCGCCGCGGCACGGCAACGGGAAGACGCAAGACCACGGCGTTCCGACCACCAAAGCAGACGACCCCCGATAGCGGCGCCAGCGCAAGCGATGGGCGGCGGACGAGCAGGCGCCGAAGACGTTACCTTTTGCCACGCTGCTGACTGTACGTCCCCGTGTATTTGGACCTCCTCTCGAAAATTTCGAGTATTTCCGGAATGCTTCTGGCAAAAAGGGCCTGGCAGGGAACACGAGCACATGCTGTAAGCCCGGGCGTCCTGTGATCGGCGCTTACACTGCTGCCGGTGCAGAGTTCGCCACTCAGCTCGACTGTCGGAGCCAGGGCGGCGCTGGAGCTCGACTGTCGGAGCCAGGGCGGCGCTGGAGCTCGGCTGTCGGAGCCAGAGCGGCGCTGGTCCCGACAGCCGAGCTGCCGGTGCAGAGCTCGCCACTCAGCTCGACTGTCGGAGCCAGGGCGGCGCTGGAGCTCGGCTGTCGGAGCCAGAGTGGCGCTGGTCCCGACAGCCGAGCTGCCGGTGCAGAGTTCGCCACTCAGCTCGACTGTCGGAGCCAGGGCGGCGCTGGAGCTCGGCTGTCCGAACCAGGGCGGCGCTGGCCCCGACAGCCGAGCTACCGGTGCAGAGCTCGCCGCTCAGATTCACTGTCGAAGCCAGGGCGGTGCTAGCTCCGACAGCCGAGCTACCGGTGCAGAGCTCGCGCTCAGCTCGGCTGTCGGAGCCAGAGCGGCGCTGGCTCCGACAGCCGAGCTACCGGTGCAGAGCTCGTCGCTCAGCTCGACTGTCGAAGCCAGGGAATCGTAACTGTATTCACTCTAGGATATCGCACAAGAGGACTTAATAGGTAACGTGACGTTCAGATGAACGTTCTAAAAAGAGAAACGCCGGTCAAAACGGTGAGTTGATCCATCCAGCAGAGATTCCACGCTTGGATACAAGCTTTAGAATTCGGCACCTCTCGATAATCAAACTGAGGTGAGTAAAGCATAGTAGCGCTTCTACTTTATTAGCATTTTTGGTTAATGGCGTAAAGGCCGAATGTGAGACGTAAAAACCGATTTCGAGTGTTCGGGATTCGTGAGGGGCCAAAACCTTTTTTGAATTAGTGTTTTGTCCTCGTTCTGTGACAACTTAACTAGATGATGAGTAATGGTAAGACATGATTTTGGTATCACAGTTGGTAATCAAAGAAGCTCAAGCCCTTCGACATTTGCCGAACAAGGGTGTTGCGAGCAGAGGGGGGGGGGGGGGGGGTTGTGGTACAACTCCTCGCCAGTTCTTTCCGGAAGCATTCCCACAAGCGTTAACCGAATCTGGTCGTCTTTCTCCATTGCAATAGCTAAAACAATAGAAATGAACACGGCCCCCATCTCACGAACAAAGTGTGATGGGGTCTGACGCCTAAAGAGGACAAAAAGAAATGAAACATTCAATCACTGGTTTTACTGATAAGTAAGTGAGGTCTGTTACCAAGTACATATTTATAAATTTTCATTACAGACTTTGGTTTACATCTGTCACCTTGACAGGCCCGCACACATACCGCTCACTGCGCTGAAGGAACGTGTGGGCAAAGTGAACGACAACCACAGACGTGTGGGCAAAGTGAACGACAACGACAGACGTGTGGGCAAAGTGAACGACAACGACAGACGTGTGGGCAAAGTGAACGACAACGACAGACGTGTGGGCAAAGTGAACGACAACGACAGACGTGTGGGCAAAGTGAACGACAACGACAGACGTGTGGGCAAAGTGAACGACAACGACAGACGTGTGGGCAAAGTGAACGACAATGACAGACGTGTGGGCAAAGTGAACGACAACGACAGACGTGTGGGCAAAGTGAACGACAACGACAGACGTGTGGGCAAAGTGAACGACAACGACAGACGTGTGGGCAAAGTGAACGACAACGACAGACGTGTGGGCAAAGTGAACGACAACGACAGACGTGTGGGCAAAGTGAACGACAATGACAGACGTGTGGGCAAAGTGAACGACAATGACAGACGTGTGGGCAAAGTGAACGACAACGACAGACGTGTGGGCAAAGTGAACGACAATGACAGACGTGTGGGCAAAGTGAACGACGGCCCTTTCTGTCCCCCGCCGAGGGGCATGAACACCTTTTGTATCTATCAAAAGGATCAAGATCGACCTTTGTAGCAACCGTTTTGCCATGCTTACCTATCGTGTGGTGAAGAAGATCTCATAGTTGTGACAGGTTCATTCGTCCTCTTTCATTATCATCATTTACTTTCATTAGTGACGTGGCTAGAGCGTGTTGTGTTGTCCTGAGGTATCACCCGTCAGTTGAGTGTTATTCTGTGTGTGATTGCTGAATAAAGGAGCAACTTATGTCGGTGTTAACGATATCCATCGTCTACCCCAGCAAGAACCCACTTGGGGTCCAAGTGAGCTGGGGTACATGCACCCTCATAAATATCACGAGACACCACCCCGGCATGGTACGACCGGGCCACGCCCTGGCGTGTTGTTCTCCATTCTTCACCTGGGAGGGTTGCATCAAGGCCAGCACCAGATAACGAGCGACTGCACTTAACAGAGGTCGTCTTCCTAACGCCGGCTGGTCCAAGCCAGCGCACGATGTCCAGGAACGTAACGGTCCGTGGTGTGGGAGAACAGGTGTCATCTGCATTTGGCCTGACCCCGACCTGAACCACCCAATGACTGGAGCCCCAAGATTTCCCCTGGGCATCGCGGGGCGCGCCAGGTGCCGAGTGCTGAGTGGCTGCATCGAGCGCAGCGCCAGCTCCAGCGCTCGACGTCAGGTGCCGGCCCACGGCAGCACAACGGCGGGACCGGGGCGGAGACGCCGTCAGGTGTCGGTCAGCAGTGGCACAACGCCGGGACCGGGGCGGAGACGCCGTCAGGTGTTCGTCAGCAGTGGCACAACGGCGGGACCGGGGCGGAGACGCCATCAGGTGTCGGTCAGCAGCGGCACAACGCCGGGACCGGAGCGGAGGCGTCGTCGGGTGCCGGCCCACAGCTGCACAAAGCCGGGACCGGAGCGGAGGCGTTGTCAGGTGTCGGTCAGCAGCGGCACAACGCCGGGACCGGGGCGGAGACGCAGTCAGCGCCACCAGTAAGTGTCAGCCCACAACGGCACAAATCCGGAAGCGGGGCAGAGGCGTCGTCAGCACCACTAGCAGGGTCACGGAGTCCTGGGCTTCGATTTTTTTTTTTTGTTTCAGGGGCGAGCAGGTAACGGAAGTCACTGCACTTCTACTGCGTTGAAACGCAACATTGTATGCGACCAACGCGCTGTAAGCGTGATTGAAGGGGACTTGTACTAATTGCCAACAAATGACATTCCTAGGAGATAACAGTAACTGAAAGCTAATACTCCGATTCCAGAGCGACCAATTGTGATGATCCTGGATTTTTTAACTTTTCCTGCCATTGTTGCAAGAAGGTGTTTAATTTGTTGAACATTCCGCGGCAGATAGCAGAGCCAGAGAGGTGCGCTGTGTCCCCTATCCGTTTTCTTTTGCAGCTCTGTTTCTGGCCAGATGAATTTACAAAACAATGACGACCAGAGAGCGTGCCCAGAAGTAAAGAGCCCTTGAAATTGCACTACGTGCATGCTTGAGAAATGTCTGCAAAACAGTTATGTACAGTTAGCAACTGCGGACAATATTTCACATTTGCTCACTCGGCAGCACTATGTGGACATCCTGGATATTCTGGTTTGAAATCGGATGTCATTTTTAATAACGGATAGAACTTACCAATAAAATTACCAAAATCTGCCCCTCTTTCGGCTTCCATGCCACAAAATCGGTAACCTTTCAGCACAAAAGTCTGGCCAAAGCCATTTCCTATCCATTTTGCTGGGATTGAGGGCTTGAACATATGATAAGCTTGGTGACAGTGTGCAATAAACAAACATGGTGCACAGCTGAAAAAGGCCCACACTTAGCCGTAGATAGTCCGTACTGGTTCACTGTCTGGCATACGTAGCTTGGCCGTCCAAGAAACGCCTTTGTAATTTGTCTTTTTTGGTTGAGCTGGTGATGGGGGTGGTCTGGCGGTGATTTCGCGACAATACATGGCGCGTTGGAAACCCAGTCAGAATTTCCATTGAGGTGAAATTGCCACAAGGTCACTGTGCCAGTTGGGACTTCAAAGCAAGCTACGAATCACGAGGACTCGAATCAAGTGCCAACCCTGAAATAGAGTCAGTCGTGTCTTGCTGTAACAGGCAGGCGCCAATCCCCAAGCCTAACTCAGCTGGTAATCTAATCCGAATACATGATGAACTGAAAATATAATGAAAACCGAGTGAAAACATCAGAAGCGAAGGTCTGCGTCTTTTTGGGCAGTGAGGGCAATCGATACCACAGTTAAATGAGTGTGTGGCCTACCGGCTTACGGCCTTACATCAATTTCGGCATGTATATACGGACCACAACAATTCCACCAGAACGTCGTCCAATCCAATCCACTGGGAAACGATATGACTTGGGCAGGATCGATATGAGTTGGGCAGTATCGACATCGTTTCATCAGCAGTCCACAGGACCTGTCCGGTCATTGCGTCTGCCATGCATACCTAACCACTTCCGACGGAATCGGCGGATGGCCAAAGCTCAATATTGTTCTGAGTACGCAGTGTAGTATCATACCGGACCTGAAGCGCGGTCAACAGTTCCGTGAAAAAGTAACAGAAGGTGCAGTGCGCAAACGTCGCCTGGTGCAGGCGCGCGTGAAGTGGTGCTGGGTTCGGCGCCGCGCCTGACCCGCGTGTAGTCAGGCGCGGCGCCGAACCCGCGTGTAGTCAGGCGCCGCGCCTGACCCGCGCGTGACCCATTGACCGGGTCGAGTAATGTATTCATGTCCAGGGTGACGCTCCTTTCACGTCGGTTTTTGTGATGAAACAGCGGTCGTGAAGACAGCTCGTCCACATCTTAGCTTAAGAAGTGTGTCTTTGAAATAACGGGTTGCAGCTTACATAATACACACAAGACAATGAAACATAAGTGACTACATCCTGTACCAGATGATTAGAAATCAGAGGAATTATATACATACATATATGTATATATATATATATATATATATATATATATATATAGGTATATAAATATATCTTGGACTTGTCTCCTGTACGGAAGAACAATTACTTAAGTTGTCTATCATTTTGTCTTGATTCTAAACGTGTACCATGAGCATATTTTAACTATTTTCCGTTCTGCCTTACTTTACCACACCTGAAGACACGCCACGTCAAACCATGCACAATCCACACAACTGTAATGTGCTTCAACTCCATGGTCCCGCTTGGTGTCGATATGAACATCAGTTACGTTACTAACAATTAACCGACGCCCAGCGCAACAGCTCTTCCTCTCGAGGCACTGCAGTGCCACTGGAGTGCCAGTGCCAGTGCCAGTGCCACTGACCACTCACCAGTCCCACCAGGAGGAAGAACACCAGAAACGTCCTGCCGAGTACCGTCTTGCAGAAGACGTCGCCGTAGCCGACCGTGGACATGGTGACGATGAGGAAGTAGACGCAGGTCCAGTAGCTCAGTTGCTGCGGGTTGTCGAAGTCCAGAGGGTCGCCTGAGTTCTCCAGCTGGCGGAGACAAACAGATCTGTGGCGTCATACCAGAGAATCGCACCATATGGTAACCATGGTAAATGATAACCATGGTAAAAAAACATAATCGCCATGGTAACCACGGATTTCATAATCCCACGCCTGGTTGACAAATTGATTGCCCCAACAGTGTTGAGCATTCATCAGAGGTGGACGATTAACGTTTGAGTTGGAGGACTGAGGAAAATGTCAGAACAAACTTAAACGGCTATTATTGGATAGCAGCACTGCCGGCACCAATGGGTGGCACATTGCTTTCCACCAATCCATGCACCACTTCAAGGACGTTGGTCGTCATACGGCGAAACTTATATTCCAGCATTTGGGGGGGGGGGGGGGGGGCATAAGTTTGCGTCTCTACCTCGCCTATGTGTGATGAACGGCTGTCGTTCAATTTTGTAAGCCAACTTGAGGTGGTTAAGTGGCTCCTGGGATGACGTCATTAGTACGTGTGCGTTAGTGACCACGTGGCGTTATTTGTACAGGTATGCTAGTAGCCACACGCGAGTGTATATTGTTGTAGGACCGCGTAGCAGCCGCGTTTGATCAAGGGTTTTAAATAAAGGTAACGCTGATAACTTCGGCGTCTAGATTTCCTAACGACCGTTGGCTTTATGTGATGACGTCACGGGTACAGCTGACATCACCTAATGACACGGAGAACTGCACTGCATACTTGAATTGTAATTAACTGATTTAATAAGTTGATATATCTTAATTAAAAATTAACTGACAGTTAAAGGTTCCGTAAAGTTTGCCTCTTGTTGTCTTTGGTGGCGAAATCAACAGTCGGTAAACGCGGCATCGTTCCAAAATTATCCCACATCGGCATAACAGCTGAAGTCAGAGAGTATCTACGGAGGTAACCGCACAACAGCGTACAAAATGTAGCACCGCACTTATTCACATGGAATACGCCACAGCCCACTCTGTGCCGTCTTTGTGAGGCTATCCTCCTGGAGCACAAATGTGCACAAGCTCTTTACACTCGGTGAGAATCTATCACATCCACTCTGTGCTGTTTAATGACGTGAAGACACATCACTTGGATCGACTCATAATTTGGATATATTTGATTAGAGCATTCATTGTGTCGGTGGGCGGTTTCGAGTCAAGCGATCTCTTTTCGTTCGATGAGTAAGGCCTCACTTAATTATTCCATTGTCTCCAGACAGGGTCTCGACATTTTTAACAGGTGACCCAAACAGAAACGCCATCCTCAACATGATGTGGCAGCATCTCGCTAGGACGCGCCTCGCCGGCGTGACGTCACTGTTACCAGATGGATGGTGCCGGCGCCGGTGAGCCAGACGGCGATGAAGATGGAGCAGAGCTGCGCCAGCCGGATGGAGCTGGACGTCTTCAGGATGTTGAGGTACTGCAGGATGTCCGGCACCGTCATCAGACGCAGCGCGCGCAGAAATCGGAGCCCTGTAACGGCGTCATGTTCAAACAACACCAGATGCCTGGCGCTGGAGCTGACGAATGCGACGCAGAACGTTCTGCTCGATGTGATTAAGAACAGCTCTCAGCTGCTTGCGCTTTGATGTATTCAGTGGTAATGGCGACACCATTGGTATACAATAACACGGATCAGCACATAAAATGACTAGGAAGCAGCAACCAACGGGCAGAATGACAGAAAACAGAGCATCATTACCGGAATACTGTGAGCATGCTGCTTCTATCCTGCGCCTAGGGCCGAGGTGATCGACCAAGCTTCCCTTCACAGCACGCAGCCGGAAATTGTGGGACTTCAGCGGCCCGTCCCATCTAGTCACGCCTTTGACGGGCTTATATGTTGGGCATCACCGACCGTGCCGTCATGCGGTTTTACGCAACAGTTAACAGATGTCTTTTAAAGTTGTGCTGCAAAAAAGGCATGATATTTGCATGCCTGTGCCGTTCGCCGTGCTAACTGAGCCAGTGGCCTTGTCACAACTGCGGGGCCGGGGCTAAAGTGTATGAAGTAAATACATTGAAAAAGAAGGATCATTGCAGGTCACTCTCTAAAATTGGTTGGGAGGCTCAGCCGAAAAAGTTCATCCAGCCTATCCCAAAAACCTGGTTCCTTTCCGGATTTTGGCCGTTTGAATTTGCGTCTTCGCTGTTAAAATGTAAAAGCAGCCTTTGTAATGTTTCATAAATCCATAACTGGTTTCCGGCAGAGGAAATACTTCCCATTCCAAGTCAATGTGAGCTATCTTTTGTGAAGAATTCAGAATGGGATGTAATAAATAGAAAAACCTCTTCAGAAACATTATCTTCAAGCATCAGCGGTAAGGAATGTGTCGGAACAAAATTTGAACCACCAGAAAAATTTAAAATTGCATTTTCTAGAATGATAGCACGATTCTGTTTTTAGAAGGTAACACATCCCAAAAAAGTTCCCAACACCTGGAATATTTTCACTTTTGGGCTTTTTCCCCCGCCGTAAGCAAAGTGCTGTCGAAGAAACATTATGAGGAGTGAGAGACTAATACTGCCACTAATACATGCGGAGCTCGCTTTCCACTGCAGTGTAGTATTACCAAAAACTCACAAAATTATGGCACCGTAAAGACACAATGCTTCACACATATGTATTCAGTGAACAAGTGTTCGCTACGCATTCCGGCTCACGTCTCCGGGTATTTCTCAGGCGCGTGTACTTACCATTACACTAGCTGATCACCGTGTGCTGAAGGGTCCACTCACCGATCCAGATCCTGTTCAGGTAGATGGCGACGAACGATGGTGGACCACTCACCGATCCAGGTCCTGTTCAGGTAGATGGCGACGAACGATGGTGGACCACTCACCGATCCAGGTCCTGTTCAGGTAGATGGCGACGAACGATGGTGGACCACTCACCGATCCAGGTCCTGTTCAGGTAGATGGCGACGAACGATGGTGGACCACTCACCGATCCAGGTCCTGTTCAGGTAGATGGCGACGAACGATGGTGGAATGGTGGAGTAGTCGACAAATGAGTACATCTCCAGCATGAACCACAGCTTGTCGCCGGCCGCTATAAACTGCGGCAGAGGAGTCAGTCAGGAGTCAGAGTCAGTCAGAGTCAGTCAGGACCAACAAAGATGCGTCGTCAGCTGAGGACCCTCAAGTCACTTAAAATCCTGGCCAGGATCAAAGCATTACATCACAACCAGCGCAGTCCATTGACACGTACCTTCAGGGGGCGTTTTCACCGTTGCCCTACGAGGGATTCGGCCTCCCCTCCAAGACTTCGAAAATAAGTAGGCTAGAGCCCCAGGTAAACAGGCACGGAAAGCTTCCGTCGGACCGCATCAGACGGTGGGACGAAACAACGGCGGCTGCGGCATTTGGCACGTCAGACCAGACTGCAGAGGTACTTGAAATTCAAGTACCTCTGCAAATCAAGTCAATTGTCCACGTCCACAGTCAAATGAAGACCACGGGCACTTGATAAACCCTCCTGCTATCTCAAGAAATAAGAGTGCCAAGATAGCGTAAAGTATCACGTTGAACACCTCTGGGAAAAATCAGTCAGATGAGAGGCAATGGACATCGACAAAGTGACACATGATATTCCATGCCAGGTCAATGAACTGACGGCTATTGTTGTATTGGTCCGTAGAGCTAAATTTAGAACTATATCGGTCACGTTATTGAAGAAAACTACATTAGAAATGTCTTCCGAATCTGCAAAGCATGAGCCATTCGGGTTGAAATGGTGTTATGCTCACAGGGCCAAATTTGGTCAGCCTGACAGGTCAAAGTTTGACCTAACTTCAACTTAGATTACCTGAGCTGGTAAAAAGTCACCAGAATAACAGCAATGTACCATAGAGCAAACCAGGTAAACAAGCAGCCAATAGATATGCCTCTTTGGAGTATATTTTTTGTGATAAATAAACATAATTTGTCTCTTTGAGCAACATCTTGCCGAAATCATCTCGAAAAAAGAGATAATATGTCGTACATGGTCGAGTTAAGAAGTTTGAAACACTCACCAAATGTATAAGCGTGACATAGCCTCAGCTACAAAAATTTAGGCCATGCTCACAATCGTTCGTAATCTATCCCTAAAAAGGCTATGGAAGGGCAGTTCTTGCAACGACCACCATGGACGTGTCAGGAACTAAACGAATCACACCACTTGCGAGAGCATAGTCAGAAAGCTCTTCCGAACTTGTAAGACACGTGCTACGTGTGACCTTCACGTCACTGAGATGACCATAACTTCTCTTAAGCCCTCGTAGAGTGAGGACTTGCGGCAATAATCAATCGCCGATCACAGATACAGATCTTGGCAGCCAGAGCCGCCAGCCCGCGGTCAGACTGTTCCTGCGATTCCCCCCCCCCCCCCGCCCACTCCGCGGCCGGACAGAACCCCCCCCCCCCCTGCCGCCCACGTCACGTGTCTTGGCTCCGCCAGCCGTCATTGCAGCGTCTGGGCAGACCGCAGGAATGACACTCAGAACGTGTTAAATCACTGCACGCGTCTCGTGCCACGGGCCGCTGATGCAGCGGCTGTACCCGTCTCGGGATTTTGTGACAGCCACCAAATAGCGAATGGCAGCCGATTGTTCTGACAGCTGCTTGCTACTATTTTGAAATTTACTGCTGCAATGATTATGATTTACGCCCGCGAGACCAGTCACCGGTTAAGCACGTGGCAGTTTACCTTCAATGCGCGTGTCTAAATTTTTGGAGTAGATTGCTTGCATCAAACCGTGGTAGCATAAATACAGGAATTCGACATTCCGCCGATTTTTTTCAAGCTTTATGATCCATGAATGCTACAGGTGTAGCATTGTCATTGTAACATAAAACGCAGTCTTTAATTCCATCTAATTGCGAATGAGTGACATATTCCCACTCCTGCCTTTGCATTTGGCACCAACTAATGAGGAACCAAAGTGCCATGCTTGCGAGAGCTTTTAGTGTGCACCCACCTCCCATCAAGCTTACACTAGAGTCAGAAACCTACAAGTAATTCTGAAAAACTGCAGAAAAATCTGCAGATTTTTGGAGCCAACATCTTGCGACGCTCAAAACATTGCCGATTTCGCACGGTGTGAAAAGCAAATGCCTAACAAAATCCAAGGCTTAAAAGTGGACCAGAAGTTCCTCAAGCTTTATAACAGCTCAACTCAAAACAAATAGTTCTCCGGCAGGTCCAATGCATTTTTATGTACTCAGCCTGTCAAAACTTCGTTATCTTTTTCTGAGACGGGCATGACATCTTTATTACCAAACTTGTTGACTCAGTAAATAATCATTCATTCGCCTTGTCACAACAAATCTAGAGTAATTTGTGCCCCTGAACTCCATGCATTTTCTTCGCCCGTACAAAAAGAGCTCCAAGACCTTGGCAGTGATGAACCAAGACTTTCTCAATTCTCACAGCGTAAGAGTTCCCGACAAGATAGCGGATGGACCAGTGGAACGGGCTGCAATACAGATGTTTCGTCAAATTTATGTTTGTCATCTGAATCTAGAAACCATTTTCCCTGCAACGTGACGTAAATTGAACGAGGGAACAAGCATTGTACCTTTATCCGGTTGTAGTCGCAAGTAGAGTAAACTTTGCTTGCTTTTTTGGCTGCTGGCCATGGACGTGGGAATGCAAAACAAACATTGTTTTTCATGAACATGAACAAAGCTGAGCTTTGCGCTTTGTCCAGATTTATATCTGGACGTCGTTGGACTTAGCAAATAAATAACTTATTCACCTTGTATCCTCCCCCGCAACTTATGACCTGTTTAAGAGAAAGGAAGCCAAGTAACATATCGCGGCTAAGTTCGGGCATGACGCTCTGTAATTCTGTGCAGCACGGCGGTTGTGTATTTTTGACATCGCATTTCTATGTTTCCTGGCATTTTATTTACATAATGTTTTCACGTGGAAAGATGAAACACAATTCAGCTTTGTCCGACTTATCTCCATTACATTTACAAATTTTCAAAGTGAACATGCGCAAAAAAAATATCACTTACTCTCATAAAAGCTCCCCTTTATCGACCTTAATAAAACCGAGAATTATGTTCAGCTATACATGAAGTTCACCGAGTTCCCTGTCTCATGCAGAGCACAGCTACGCATGGAGTTGACCGGGCTCGCTGCCCCATACAAACCACAGCTTTGTATTGAATTCACCGAGCTCCATGTCTCACATAAAGCACAGATATGCATGGAGTTCACCGAGCTCCGTGTCTCATGCACAGCACAGCTATGCATGGAATTGACCGAGCTCGCTTTCCCATGCAGAGCACAGCTATGCATGGAGTTCACCGAGCTCGCTGTCCCATGCAGAGCACAGCTATGCATGGAGTTCACCGAGCTCGCTGTCCCATGCAGAGCACAGCTATGCATGGAGTTCACCGAGCTCGCTGTCCCATGCAGAGCACAGCTATGCATGGAGTTCACCGAGCTCGCTGTCCCATGCAGAGCACAGCTATGCATGGAGTTCACCGAGCTCGCTGTCCCATGCAGAACACAGCTATGCATGGAGTTCACCGAGCTCGCTGTCCCATGCAGAACACAGCTATGCATGGAGTTCACCGAGCTCGCTGTCCCATAAAAAGGACAGCTTTATGTGGAGTTCACCGAGCTCCATGTCTCAGATAAAGCGCATTTGTCTCGGCATCGAACCTAAACATGCTAGTGGACGTAACATTCGATGGATATTAATGGAAAACGCACAGGTGACAAGCAAAAACAAATTACACTTCCCATGGAGCTGATCGCAACCAATAGGTGACGAACCACCTTCCGCGACGTAACAGAGTTTACGACTAGGCGCGGCCGTGTTGCGATAATAAACCAGGTGTGTTTTGAAAAGAACGCTAAGAAAAAGGAACACGAGGGGATGACCAGGACAAGCATCCCAAATATCAACGCCTGAGGTGGAAGATGAATACCACGGACCATAGCGAATAACAAGGAACCAAGATTCTATCGCGTCCCGTGTCACGCTAAAGCCAGCAGGTGGTCGCCTGATTTAACGTGGCGATATCGGCACTGACTACTCGGACAGCAGCTGATCGGAACGGCGCCTTGAGTCCTCGCAATTGCAGCGCGTCCAGCTTACCCTAATGAAGAAGTACACCATGAAGAAGATGTTGAAGGCTAGGTCGATCTGCTGCGTAGGGTTGCTGCTCCACCGTATGCACTGCTCCACCCCCTGGCTGAAAAAGGAGGCAATGCTTGATATGCAGTATCCTTACCGCACCAGCCGCCCACCTCCAAGCCCATTGCGCGCCTCCAGACAAAAGAAGGCCGAGTTTTACAACCGAGCACGGAAAAATCTCAAGTGCAAGCCTTGAGAACCAGGTCCCGTGATCTGTTTCTGGGATTCACGCTGGATTCATTCGTCAGTATGGTGGTGTGGCGGTCTAGCAGTTAAGCCCAAGGATCGCTCTCAGAGCTCCTTACAGTCAGCCGACCGTCTCGAGACCCTTCTACTGTCTCAACGCCCTTCACTGTCTCGGAGCTCCTTAGTCTACTAATCTGGCTTCAGTGACCGTTAGATGATCGGCTGGATTGACTGATCTTCGACCGATTGAAGCCTGCAGTGGCCTAAATCTAAGGCACTAAGTTAGGCCAGTCAGTGCTTGTATGCCATCGACTATTTCTGGTTTTCTCAGAGTGTTGTAATAGCGGCGTTGTGTTGGCAGTTGCTCACTGCGCAGGGGACTTTGGTAGTCTGCGTGGCGATTGCTGCCACTTTTATTTGGCAGCACTGGCACCGGAACTAACGTTGAATGTGCGCCAGGCTTGAAAATGCATTACTTGTCGAGATGTGGATCGGGTTGCGTGTGTGTGGAGGACGGCTGTGGGTCAACGCTCGGAACTGAGGCGGTTGGACTTGCGACAGAGTTAGTTGAAGTAGCACGTGAAGCGTTGCTAATTTCGAGATCACCAAGCTGTCCCTCTAATCGCTTGACCCTGACGACATTCCTGAACGGTTGGCCGGGCCAGCTCCTTGCGACCACTCGACTTTTTGTGTTCCGTGTCGCCTTTCTCCTCGTCTCGATGTCGCGTCACGCATGTGAATGGTTGCATTAGATTCATTCTGCCTGCATGTTTCTCTACTGTGTCAAGAGGCACGTCCGTCACAATTTTGGGTTCACTTGCCAGTCTCGGTTCTCTTAGACAGTTCGGCAGCCTTGACCTTTCAGTGACCGCCCCTTGACCTCTCGGTCTCGAGTGACCGCTTCGGTGATCGCTCCGTTTGAGTTGTTGCTCATTTTGGAGCCACTTGAGCGCTTTGTGGACTTTGGATGGTACGGGGAAGTTTTGTGGCTCATGGCTGTCTCGAGACCTTTTTATCTTTCATTGATTTCAGCAGAGAGGCTTACAAACCGTAAAAGTTGTGTGAAAACTGATGTCTCAGAATTTTATGAACTCTGAAGATGCGTCGCATAACACAACCTCCGAAGTCTGTATGCAATTAATGTGACTACGTGGCCAAAAGCGTGCGTGGACGACCCTTTGTTTTTCATGATGTTTGTTTATTTCTTCTGAGCGGTTTCAGTGGTTGAGTTGCTGAAGTGGTGTGTCATGATTATGTTTCCAGAGGTGGCAATGCCTGGTTTTCAGCCATAAAACAACCGGGATTAACATCCAGCATTTGAAATACCAAATGATGTGATTTATAAGTTGTTCAGTGCATTGGGGAGGAACATTATCCACATAGATAAGGCAATAGTACTAGCCTTATTTCCTGAAAAAAGACAGGAGACTGGAGAGGCAGTTTTATGACTCCATTCTCCTGTTTTTTTTTCTTCCGAGGAATAAGGCTAATATTACTGTCTTATCTATGACACGATTAGCATTGACCATACTTCGAACTCGAATGAAAGGATTGTTCGGGCTATCGCGTTCGTTTGGTGTGTTAGCATAAAGTTTCGGCTAGCCAAAACTGCGGCCGTCGTCATGTCCTGTTGAGTCCTGAGAGTCAGCTGGCCGAAATGCTGCGTACGTGCTAACAGAGCAAACAAGGTCGATAGCCCGAACAGTTATCCACCTGTGGCACTAGTTCTTCGGCTCACCCTTTCGTAAAATCAAATGTTTCAAACACTTGTAAAGCCAAAAATCCTTCCGCTGTCTCGGGCAGGCTGCAGACCATTTTCGGTTTGTAAAACCGGCTACAAGTGACTGAGCCTCACAGTCTCTCCCCATCCATGAAAAGCAGCTGAGCTCCTCAGCTAATGATAGGAATTTGCCAAGGTTATTTCACCAAGTATTCTACATCTCTGGTGAATTAATCTGTAGTTTAGACATTCCACACCTCTGGTAAATTGGCTTGTAACTTAGTCACTCCACACCTCAGGTAATCCCGTAATTTAGGCGTCCTAGCCCCTCTTGCCGGCTGAAGAGGGTAACAGAAAACTACTTAAACGGCGGCCAGACGGAGACCCAGGACACAGCACTCCGCTACGGACCAGGTTAATAGGACCTCAGCTCCCCAGCCCATGTGGACGCCTTTTGACAACCACGAAGTCGACAGAATTCGAGTGAGTTCGGCAGATGTACGTGCCATCAAATATACCACGTTGCCTCGCGTGCACACCATCACTTCTGATGTGCATCTTCCAACAATGCAAACTCGTCCACTGGCAAAATTCTAGTCCTTGAAACTCTCCGCGCAAGATGCCACGAGGGATTATTTCCCGACCACTCCAACTAAAAACCTGACATACTCAGCTTACAGGACGTTGATCATGACGCCAGCAACAAGGGATAGCCTAGCAACGGACCTGTACCGCTTCTATAAACGCATCACGCTCAGCTGAGTGGTGTCAGCCGGTTTGCCTGCCCAGCGCCCGAAGCTACCTGTCTGCCGGCAGCCGCTGGGTGGTGTCAGCCTGACTGGTGCTCGAAGCTGTCTGTCTGCCGGCAGCTGCCGCGGAAAAACGATTGACATTTCGCTGATTGGTTGTCAGCGAACGTTCATAATGGATGCGAGGAGATTAAGTGCTCCGTGAATGGCATCATCGCTGTACACTATTACTTGTCTATTGGCGTCATCGCTGTACGCTACTACTCGTGCAATGGCGTCATGTCTAATGTCACGCCATGTCTCATGTCATGTCTTGTCATGTTTAATGTCGTGCAATGTTTCACGTCATGTCATGTCTCGGTTCATGTCATGTCTCATGCCTTGGTATGTCATGTCTCATATCATGTACGATGTCGTGTCATGTCTTACGTCACGTCTTACGTCACGTATCGTGTGATGACTCATATCATGTCATGTAGTGTCTCACGTCATGTCATCTCTCATATCGGGTCACGTCTCATGCTATATCATGCCATGTCTTATGTCACGTTAGATCTCATGTCATGCCATGTATCATGTCATGTCATGGGACATGTCATGTCTCATGTCATGTCATGTATCATGCTCCATGTATCATGTATCGTGACATGTCATGTCTCATGTCATGCTTTGTCATGCATCATGTCATGTCTCATGCTGTCATGCATCATGTCATGTCATGCCATGCCCCATACCATGTCATGTCCCATGTCCTGTCATGTCTCATGTCCTGTCATGTCATGTCTCATGTCATGCATCATGCCATGTCTCATGTCATGCATCATGCCATGTCTCATGTCATGTCATGCATCATGCCATGTTATGTCTCATGTCATGTCATGTCTCATGTATCATGTCCTGTCATATGCCATATCACGTCATGTTTGTTTGAAGGATACTTGGTTGGCACTGTAGGGTAAACCTCTAAAAGAGTACCGACAACAGCAGTCGTTTCAATGCGCAAGCAGTGGTCTTAGCCCGTGTGTTCTTAGTGGAACCCGCGACTCGCATGTGGAAATAGATACACTTCCGACTAACTAGCTCCTATACATACGCTTGCCATTCATCCTTTAAACCATGAGAAATTTTGCACCACCAAAAGAAAATGGATCGTCAAAGGCATAACATGTGTTTTAGGCAAACGCCTTGTCGAATGTGTCAAAATACGGCACGGAACCACCCCGAGCGTTATATATTCGTTTATATCCCGACTCATCTACAGAGCTGTAGCTCCGGCCCCATAAACACCGCCACCGTGCGGCGGCAGCGAGAACAACGACAGCAATGCATGTAGCTAATGTATTGAGACGTAATTTACGTAATGCAGTGACGCATGCCGAATTAATTCGCCTCTTGTCGATAGCAGCAGCGGCCATGGGCTGTGGCATCAGACGTCAGTGGGCGGAGGTTATATACCAGATGTCAGTGGGTTAGATCACCGTCCATTCGATGACAGTGGACGATAGTAATGCATCAGATGACGTCAATGGGCGGGGCTGTACATCAGATGACGGCAGTGGGCAGCGACTTGACATGAAACGTCAGTGGCCAGCAACTTGACGTCATGTGACGCCAGTGGCAATGAACTGCCCATCATATGACGTCAGTGGACGGGGCTGTACGTCGGATGACGCCCGTGGGTGGGGCTCTATATCAGAAGACGTTAGTGGGCAGGGACTGAACACGGAACGTCAGTGGGCAGGAGCTGGACATCAGTTGACGTCAGTGGGCGAGAGTGCACATCATATGACGTCACTGGGCAGGAGCTGGACATTATTTGACGTCACTGGGCGAGAGTGCACATCATATGACGTCACTGGGCAGGAGCTGGACATCATTTGACGTCAGTGGGCGAGAGTGCACATCATATGACGTCACTGGGCAGGAGCTGGACATCAGTTGACGTCAGTGGGCGAGAGTGCACATCATATGACGTCACTGGGCAGGAGCTGGACATCAGTTGACGTCAGTGGGCGAGGGTGCACATCATATGACGTCACTGGGCAGGAGCTGGACATCAGTTGACGTCAGTGGGCGAGAGTGCACATCATATGACGTCACTGGGCAGGAGCTGGACATCAGTTGACGTCAGTGGGCGAGGGTGCACATCATATGACGTCACTGGGCAGGAGCTGGACATCATTTGACGTCAGTGGACGAGAGTGCACATCATATGACGGCAGCGGGCAGGAGCTGGACATGCACCGTCAATAAGCGGTGACTTGACATCAGATACTGTCAGTGAGCAAAGCCTCGGCTTCAGGGGGACGGGGGGGTCAGCCCACCTGACGGAGCACCACTGACGGCGGCACCACGAACCGTACGCGTAGAAACACTAGTCACTGTCGCTGTCCCTTCCTCTTTATCCGTGACCTCACTATCAACCATATTGCGATACACAGAAGAACATGGACTTGATGGTGGCGTTTACCCCTCCCCTAATCGCTGCTGTCCTGACGCCGCTGGCTGGCGGGAGTGGGCAGGACGGGGAGGGGGCGAGGGGGGGGAAAGGCCCAGGTGTGCACGCTGCCAGGTGCCGCTCTCCCCTGCCCTATCAAATGCGCCATGATCAGCACGTGATAAGACGCTGATACCGCCGCCATCCGGGGCGCGTTATCCGTGCAGTGAACGTTATCCACGCGGTGATGCCTCATTCGTGGGGATCAGCTACCCGCAATGATGATACATCTGCAATGGTACGTTGCTCACAGGTGGAAGTTATTACACGTCGGCATGCTATCCGGTGACGATGCGTGATTCGCCGTGAAACAATGATATGCAATGCACTAACCACGCAGATCCTGTCCTGGACTGTACGGTATTGTACTGTTTTGCACCGCACTGCACTGTATACACTGTTAAACATTGCACTGCACTGCACTGTATTACACCGCACTGCACGACACTGCACAGCACTGCACTGCACTGCACTAAATTGTTTTGTGCTGTACTGCACTGTTCTGTACTGTACTGCACGGTACTGCAATGTACTGTACTGAACTGTACTGTACTGCATTGCACTGTACTGCAATGTACTGGGCTATACTGCACTGCACTGCACTGCACTAAATTGTTTTGCGCTGTACTGCACTGTTCTGTACTGTACTGCACGGTACTGCAATGTACTGTACTGTACTGTACTGTACTGCATTGCACTGTACTGCAGTGTACTGGGCTATACTGTACTGCACTGTACTGCACTGTGCTGCGCAACGCTGCACTATACTGTACTGAATTGCTACATTGTTCTGTACTTTACTGTACTGTACTGCACTGCACTGCACTGCACTGCACTGCACCGCACTGCACTGCACTGCACTGCACTGCACTGTGCTGCGCTGCACTATACTACGCTGTTTGCCGCCCACACTTGTGCGGGCAGCGAAGAAGCCAGGGCTGCGGCGCCGCCTGTTGTCCCCCGCCCTCTTATGGGGCTGCCTGCCGTGATCGATCCGCTGGCGGCCGGTTATCCCGACCCATCGCGGGACGCCCGGCCGGCTCCGGACCGCAGCTGACTGATGGGGGGGGGGGGGGGGGATAGCGACACAGAGGACGGGAGGGCAGCGGCGACACAGAGGACGGGAGGGCAGCGGCGACACAGAGGACGGGAGGGCAGCGGCGACACAGAGGACGGGAGGGCAGCGGCGACACAGAGGACGGGCGGGCAGCGGCGACACAGAGGACGGGAGGGGGGGGGGGGGCAGCTGCGACACAGAGAATGGGGACCTGGCAGACCGTTTGTTTATGCCATGAGTAGGCCAGGCCAGTGAAGTAACTAACATGTTTCAATTAATTAGTTACATAGATAGCCCGCCAAAGCCTGCAGCGTGGCCTTTTGAAAATATCCGAGGCTTTAACTCGGTGATCGCTGCTCAGTGTGACCTGGGATTTGTACGGCTGTCTCCCTTAGCCTAGTAATACTTGTGGAGCTTTTAAACGTATGAGGGCGTAGCCTTCAGACCTTTGGTTGTTCTGTCGTGGAAAGCCTTTAATAGCGAAAGATACAATGTGACCACACAAGCACACACACCGTTGCTTTGGTCATGTTCACATCAATGAGTGGGCAAAAACTTACTTGGAGGCGTCAATGAAATAGATGACCAGCGAAGCTATGCTGAGGAAAAACACCAACACCACCTGGAACGAAGAAGACAGTCGTTAAGAGCAAGTCAGAACGGCTTGAACGGGTACTTAACCAGCACCTCTTCGCGCCATTGTTGGTAACTTATCCGCGACTTCAGCAGCTTGCTTCAGTGATCAGTGGGCCCGGAGCCAAACATGTGACTCGATGCCAAGGATCCATCTATCTAGAAACCTATAGAGTGCGGTAAGGATGGGATCCTGGTATCGGAGCCCGAGATCGGATCTTGAGATCGGGTCCTGAGATCGGATCCTGCGATAAGGTACCGAGATCGGGCCCTGGGACTGGGTGCTGAGATCGGGTTCCGAGATCTTTAGCAGGGCTCATAATTCGTGGTGGCTTATGCACGATACGTAATGTGCTCACCTAATTTGCTGTGACTGACTTCTAAACTTCTAGCTTAGCTGCCCATATTTTTTCGCTATTGTTTTTGCAGCCCTTAACGTTTATGTTGGGATTTTGGACGGCTTACCTGTTGTGACATGTTTAGTGGCAGCGTCTGCACAGATTGGGCACGTTTTCTGTGGATTCATGTGTCAAAGCGAATCATACGTCCAAGCACAGATCCGCATTTGCTGCGGTGACACTTTGTCACCGCAACAAGCCAAGTTTCGGTGAGGACTCCGTGAGTTTGCAAACAGTTACTAAATCCGACAGCTATCTTTGCCGCCTCCGTGGCCTAGGGGAAAGATTTTGGACTCGTAATTCAACGGCACTGGTTACGTGTTCCAGAGCGGGCACATTGTTTGGCCCGACTGAAGTGGAAAGCCGGCTGGCAACTGGCCAACAAGGGTCAACCCAGGCCTGGGGCAGCCGTGCCGCAGCATTGTGCGGCACGCGAAGCTCTCCCCATTCTTCTCCGCCAAAAGACCATAGGCAAAATTATCCGTTGAACCGGGCGGCACGACCTGAGTGGCGAGTCCATGATACATGCAGCAAGCCATGATTAGCGGGTACTTTGAACCCAAAAGCCATCCATGCAAACCATTGAGAATACATTTTTTATTCTGAAAAACTAGGTATCTACAATGACCGGCGATGGGGCTTTCTGTCGGTATTGCAAAACCATATTAATGCAATACTTATTGACGCTATTGCCAAGGATGTGTGTATTGTGTCGATTACATACGCACGGCGTTAGGCGCAGGTAATTCTGACAGCTTGGATAGGTGATTTTGCCGCTATTTCGCTGCCGTCACAGCGGTCTAACTTGGGCTCAACGTGGAAGCAAATTATGATAATTGATGACAAATGCATTGCATGCAAATGTATTACTCATCATATCTTGCATTATGCACAGCGCGACCTAATGCTGGAAGCTCATTTGTGCCTGCAGTTCTTCACAACATAACGAACAAAAACATGCACGAGACGTTACTGTGACGAAACTCTTCAAACCTATTGTACAAGATTCGGTGTCGGGGCTGCCTATCCCCCCCCCCCCCAATCTGTCATGTCAACTCTCGACCTGTTTATACATTCAGGAGAGTATTTGCTGAGCACGCGAATGCCGATGTTATCTGCGTCTCACTAATGATCGACCATCAGAACTTCCATAAACACAACAACGGTTGACGGATGAGTCAGATGCGTATCTGCCAACGTGCCACGGTTGATTCTGATGTTGATCTGCCAACGGATGACGGAGGATTGAGATGTGTGTCTGCCAACGGATGACGGATGATTCCGATGTGTATCTGCCAACGGCCTGGCGAGAGAACAGCGAGCTAGGAAAGAACGATCACCAATACGGAGAGTCAATGAGGGTGAAAGAGAGAGGCGAAGGAGAGGCAAAAGAGAATAAGAAGAAGAACCCACCTTGAGCGAGATATTTTTATGTATTCCGACTGCGCAATTTGACATTTTGCCGTCTTAAATCCGTGATACTGTTCACATAGATAAAGCAATATATTTAGCCCTATTCCTCGGAAAAAAACAGGAGAATGGAGATGTAGTTTGGTTGATATTTCGGCAACATACCATTATCGAAACAAAAGCAGAAGAGAAGAAAAGCAGAAGAAAAACAAAACCTGCTTTTGTTCGGATACAGGCATGTTGCCGAAACATCAACCAAACTATGTATCTCCATTGTTCTGTTCTCTGAGGAATAAGGCTAATACTTATCTATGTGAATAATGTTGCATCTATGTCTTATCTATGTGAATAATGTTTCTCGCTAATGTACTGAACAACTTACATAATGGTGTTTATCTTGAATGATGCTGCGTAGCAAACTCTAATCTGACATTAGGAAGATTAAAAAGTGTGGTTCTTACCAGGAAAACGCAATATCGTATGGAAATTGTACAAATAGCATGCTTAAACATGCGCATGAAATCATCTAAAGGGTGACAAGGTAGTGCTATCCTTTCAGCCGGAGTAAGGCTGCTACATCCACCACAGCTTTCTAGGTCGTTATTGCGCCGTTTGTCGTTGTGACCCCGCCAGTGTCATCTTTTTCGAAGCTGGTCTTTGACACAACACGCTGTGTCCTAAACCAAGGCCAGCGGGAACATGGTTCGCCACTTTGCCAGGTCTGGGTGGCACTCAGACGAGTCCGCAGGCCATTTCCAGGGACGTGTCGCGTCGCTCGACAGAATGCCCCGACACGGCAAAAACGGCGCCGCGGATTCCGGCATCCATAGGATCGATCCCGAACCCGTGCGAGCCATAGGATCGATCCCGAACCCGTGCGAGCGCCACGTCATAGGATCGATCCCGAACCCGTGCGAGCGCCACGTCATAGGATCGATCCCGAACCCGTGCGAGCGCCACGTCATAGGACCGAGCCCGAACACGTGCGAGAGCTACGTCATAAAATCGATTCTGAAACCGATGAACTCCGAAACCAGGGCAGCTGCCCTGTGGCCTCGTGCGGGTGCCAGGTCATTGGGTCAGATCGGAAAAGCTATCGGGATTTTTCACAGTTTGTTTTGCGCGCCGCGGTCCGGGTCTTGCGGCATGAAATTTCTATAGGAATGGTTTAATGCAGGCTAGCGTATATATCAACGGGGAAGCCGTAATCAGCGAAACCATTGAGCTGTGAGCACCAATCACAAATTTATGCATGTCAATGGAAGAATCCTCCATTCCTGAAACAAGAAATGCTGCATTCCTTAAAGCAGAAATGCTGCATCCCGGAACGCAAAAACTACGCTTATGGTCTAAGTCTAGAATGGATCTAGTGAATGAATGTCATGAATGAACTTGATTAATTCTGCATGTGGAATGAAAAATTCATGCAACATTTTTCGGGTAGAATCTACAGGATTGCACGGCCTCGGCCAGTGCATTTCCTGTGATTTAACGATAAAAGGTGGTGCCGTCACCCTATCTTGTTACGAGCGTCCTTTGACAACGCGATATCAAAATGCGGTTCATTTATATAAAAGCTGGCGTGGGTGGTACATTTGCATATAATATTTTTAGCCAACAGTGCAGATTTTTTAGAAAAACTGTTCAAGGTATGTAAGGTCGCAAACAAATTGGAGGAGGGGGAAATGGTTACGCCTACCCCAACATACAACAGAAACGGGTTTCTCCCCAGATTTAGCCCAATTGCCTCCTAAAGTTGTAAAGGGAGAGGGCTGGAGCCACCCCCCCCCCCCTCCCCACCAAACTGAACAGGAAACTCTACCCCCGGTCCGCTCCTTGTTTTCTTTGTTTGGCACGTCTGTACGCAAACAAGATCCACACAAACCAGGCTACAGTCTTTATGCACGGGACGTAAACTTCACGCCCTTGGAGACGTGAGGCCTGAGAAACTCGTCTCGCTCCCGACTTTGCGTCAAGGCGAGCTCCGCCGGCGCCTGGCACCGCCGCGTCCGCGACACCAGAGGCGTTGCCAGGACTGACGCCTGGGAATTATCGGCAGATCTGGAGGACAAGCGAACCTGTAGGCTAACAGATTCTTTGGGAGAAACAAAAAAATGCACTAGGAAGATGGGGATCTCCGCTGCTCTAGAGGTCACATGAGACGAGCAGCAACAAACCCCCCCCCCCCTCCCCCTCCGGTCCTCCCTCGGACGCTGCGGTCGCGCCTTTTCCACGTGTCTCCCAGTTACGCTATTCTCGCTGGACGATGTCGTGACCTTGCTCGCCAGGTATCTGGCTGGATCGCTGTCGCGCGGTCTGGCGCCGAAGCCACATTGGCCGGCTGGGGGCAGGGACAGCGCGGCTCGGGCCGCCCGGATCCGGACGCCGTGGGGGAAACGCGTCGGCGAGATCGGCACAAATCTCGCGCGGCGCCTCCTCGCCAGCCGACCGGCCGACAGCTGGCAGGATCGATCCGTTGCCATGGCGACGGCCCATATGATCGCCGGGCCTGTGGTTGCCCCGGGCAGCTGTGGGGTCGTCGAAATCGTGACCCGCGTGCGCTTACAGGCTGCTGATTGGTGCTGCTGATGCGGTACGAGAGTTCGGGGGAAAATAAATTCTGTATAAGCCTGATAAAAAACAGACCATCGGCTGGGGGAGGGAAGAGCTGACCCCTTCCTGACACCGTTTTCACACTCAGCCAAATCACCACCAATGGAGTGATCTATAAACCATCATTAGTTGGGAGTTCTTAGTCCAAAAATAGTCGACTTTCAAGATACCAGGAGGCATTGGTTAAGCGACGTCAAAAAGCAAGCATTGGCTGTATTGACGAAGCTGCTTCGGGTGTCGCACACCTGAACGCACACTGCTTCAGGTGTCGCACACCTGAACGCACACTGCTTCAAGTGTGCGTTCAGGTGTCCCACACCTGAACGACAAAACAGAGTTTTGTGAAGCAAAGGCAAAACTTCAAATAAAGGTTTTCAAAGAAGGCGATTGTGTGGATGGTCACCAGGTGATGTGTGGACGGCCATCAGATGATGTGTGGACGGCCATCAGGTGATGTGTAGACGGCCATCAGGTGATGTGTGGACGGCCATCAGGTGGTGTGTGGACGGCCATCAGGTGATGTGTGGACGGCTACCAGGTAATGTCTGGACGGCCATCAGGTGATGTG